ATGTTTAATCTGTCCTCACTTTTTCCCCATTTATATCGTAATATTCATCAACTGTTCTCAGGAATATGTAACTACCTACCAATCTATATTAAAATAGCTATATCATGATTATAATACATCCATATTTGTTTTCATATGTTGTATTTATATAAAAATGTATTATTTTGTAGCTACAATATATTTCCTATAGTCAATATTATATTCAACTGACAATTGTCGTTACACTCAAATTGTTTATTATGGCAATTACAAATATTCATCATATTGCACATCAAAGTCTGACTAAAGTTTTGATGCTATGTTTATTTTTAAAATCTGAGCATAAAAATATTCATCATTATTTATCTATTCAAATTGAAATCTACCCTATGTCTTACATGAAAATCTGAGCATGTTGACACAAACTCTGTTTTACATTGGCAGTTTGATCCAGTTTTTACACCACTTTTTATAAGTAAGTTTTAAAAAAAAAAGACATTTTTTCACAAAGGTAAGATCTTAAATATGTAGCATTATTTTGGACCGGATTGTTCAAACTGGTACTGCTCCTTCATATTGTCCTTCACAAAGCCTCTCATAACGTTTGAATCACATCAATTTAAATTGTTACATACTAGTACATTGTTATTTTATATTTCATCATTATGTTTAAAATATCAAAATCACATTGAAAAAAAAAAATTCTCCATCAATAAATTCTGTCTATTTTTTCTTTCAAGGACATTTAAGGGAGACCTGATACAAATGTGTGTGCTTCAAATATTTGTGGGTTTCCAATTAATATGTTTTCAATGGGTCATTTGTAAGCTTAGTGCATGTTTTCTGGGTCTGAGACAGGTAAGATTGAAAAATTGATAGAAAGCTGCTATAACTATAAAATGTCTAATCCCCCTTATGTCTACCATAAATAATGTGTCAACCTAACAGTAAGTTTCATTTCCCCTTATGTCTACCATAGAAAATGTTTCAACCTAACAGTAAGTTCCCAAAAAAATATGTCTATCATAGATAATGTTTTAACCCAACATTAAGTTTTCTTCAGTTATACAAACTTGTGCAGAGTACATCAATGTTTGCTTTATCATAAATTAGGGCTTTAGGTCACACTCACATGATTTTAAGATAAAAATACAACTTCGAGGATCTGGTTTTCTAATGCATGAATACACCAGGTGTCTCTCTGTGCATTATTTCAGATATGAGCAGGAACCTTCATGTATACATTACACCATTAACATTTTGTCAGCTAGTTAAACATATCTTTGACAAATGGAAAAATTCAATGGTCTGAAAGATAGCTCTACAAAGCTGTAGCAAGGGGAAAAACACCTTATTACACCTCGCTTCATAAACCTTTCATTAAGTTATGGCAGCTTTCTAAACAATCAAGCAAACTGGTTTCTTCCAAGACGTTGAGAAGTTCACTTTTTTTCCCATTTCGCTTAAGAACTTATTTGTAAGTTATCTTTTTATTAAATTTTTGTAAAATCAAAAGTAATCCAACAATTCTCAACCTCTGAGTTTGGAAAATATTATGCAAGCAATACATGAAGAAAGTTGGAAAAAGCATTTTGTACAATTAAGAAGCTAAGGAAAAACTAGAAAAGCAAAGATACGGCCAAATGTTGACAGCAGGAGGGGTTAAAGCAGAGCAACTGTTGAAATACATGGAAGACAACATAGAGAAGGTAAAAGCAAGAACATTCAGACAGGGTTAAAAAAAAACAAATTCTGATGGAAATAATCAGAACAACTGGAAGCAAAAGCTGCCAAAGCAAAATGCAAAAGCTGTCAAAGCAAAATTTAAAAGCTGCCAAAGCAAAATTTAAAAGCTGCCAAAGCAAAATGCAAAAGCTGTCAAAGCAAAATTTAAAAGCTGTCAAAGCAAAATTTAAAAGCTATCAAGGCAAAATGCAAAAGCTATCAAGGCATAATGCAAAAGCCGTCAAAGCATAATAATGAGCAATTAAGCAACAGATCTTAATTAAAGCAAATGCAAGAATTTAACCTTTAAAATATCAAAGTCAATTGGTATAATTACATCAAATGCATTCAGATACTACCCTGCTTCCAAAATTGGAACAGAAAAAAAAATAATGCCTGCTTCTGGGTTACAGGAACAACAATTTTTAATTTTTAACTTTAAACTAGCAATTGCCTACAAAAAGGCACTTATATGAAAGAAATAAATTGCTAATAAGTAAATTTCTGTGTAAAGCATAGTTACCAAAGTTTAAAACATTTCCCGCATGATTTTTAATTTTAAAGGCAAATCTTTTTATTATATAAAATAATGCACCAGTCATTTGCTATACCTTCTACTCGCTTCCTGAGCAAATATCCAACCTTTTGACTTGGGGACGAGCAAAGTTCTAATAAATCTATTTGCCTTGCATGGAAGACAATTAAGTTATATAATCTCTACTAATTCACTACAGCCATGCTGTCCTACATGGTATGTTTGACAGCAATAAGTTGATAGCTTTGCAAATGACAGCTGAATGTTTAATTTAACCCTTTTTATTACATGCTGTAAGGGGCTTAAATTCAAAACAGTGAAATTATCAAACTGGTAATTTCACTTTTTGAAACAGTGAAATTACCACTTTGATAATTTCACTGTTTTAAATTTAAGCCCCTTACGTTGTTTCAGTAAAATACCAGCGTGCACAGTACTGGGTACCAACTTAATGACATGACGTCGTAAATGACGTCACGTTGTATTATTATTTGGCGCGCTTTTCATTCCGTATTAGGTTAAATGTCTTTTTAAAACGTTTCTTTGCATGTAATAAAAAGAAAATTTGTTTAGTTTAGTGTAAGATTGAAATATATTTCACCTTGTGAACACCAAAAGTTCATATTTCACCCGTGGCTGAGCCACTCGTGAAATATTCCTTTTGGTGCTCACTGGATGAAATATATTCCGATCTTACACTGAACTAAACAAATATCCTCTATATCTTCCCAAACCACAACCCTCCAGGGGGAATCGAGGGAGGGTATGGCAAATGACTGATGTATTCAATACTATTTAAACAGGGCAGGCAAAATCTGTTTTGGACACCTTTTCTCAAACATTAATTTTGGTCTCTTTGATATTTATAAAGTAAATTCTGAGAAATTTTACTTGTCCATATAGGCTGTAGGACAACCTGGGCAATATGGACAGTTGATTTTGCCACACCTGTGTTAAGTTAGTGATACTAATAAAAGATAAAACTAGAATAGTAGATTGACATGCATTATTAGTCAACATACAATATGCTTTAAGATACAGTTAAAACATGTTTAATTCACATGAATGCCATTTTCGTATAATGTAAACTAAGAATATGTTGAGTATACCAGAGACCAAATAATAGATAGTTTTTCAATGCAGAACTGTTGTAAAATCATTTGGTGTTTGTCAAAAACATATTATGAATTCTTTTAACAAGTTCAACATTTTACATTTACAATGTGTATGTAGCTTTTTTCAATGGACATAATTATATACATTAATTTAGTAAAGGAATATTTAAACTAAATTTGAATATGCCAATAAAAATAGCAAATAATTTTACAACATTTTGTGGTACAGTATATTTTATAATGCAACAAAATCTAAAATTATAATGGTCTATGTTTATTAAGGTTCAAAATACAAAAATGTTGTTGTTGTTGTTTGTTTTTTTTTTGCAATAGTTCTGGAAGACAGACTTGCAAGACTAATCCAGACTTGACTTTGAAACCTAAAATATCTTACAATCCCTTAATAATAGGGATTTCAAATTAAATGAGAGTTACCACAGCTATTTGCGAAATAATTTCAGACTTTTTCACATTTTTTTTTTAATTTCCTTTCTAAAATTTGAGAAGTTTTGCCAATGCATACACTATTGAAATTCATTTACAATAAACATGTAAATATTGTTCAGTTTTAATCGCCAGTTCTGTGACTAAAAAATGTTCAAAATATTTTTGAACTTTTTCTATTCTTGTGTTTTCCTGATTTCAACCAAATATAATAACAGAGGTAACCCTGAAGATCAAAATATCAAATTTGGATAGTCTAATGTAAAGTCTGGTTTGACTATAAAAATAATGGAAGCTAGCCATATTTAATAGCTTAATTTACTTGTTGTGTAGATAATAAGTGGAATTTGATCATTATGTGAATTTCAACATTAACAAACATACACCAGTCATAAATATATACATGGCAAGAAAGAATTATCATACAGGATAAAATGTAAATTTTCATGATGAAATATATATCATCAAAATGCAAGTTCATCATTAAGAAAGAATGGATCAAGAAGAGAACAATGTCTATAAGATAATAATGCAAGTTGTTGTTGTTTTTCTTATAAATCACATCACACAACTACCAAAACAGTGATTACACAACTAATAAAACAGTGATTAATTCAGGAACTGTTTATCTCCATTAATTTACTTAAGATTCTAAAGTAGAGTGAGTGACGCTTTCTTTGATAGGTTTTTAAGTCACACAGACACAGTATAGGTCATATGGCGATGTTCCAACTTTACTGGTAGAGGAAGACCTCAAGTTCCCTTCCATGCTTTATTTCAGGCACAAACGGGCCACTGAGTAGAACCACCGACATTCCGTAAGCTAGCTGGATACCTTCCTAACATGAAAGAAAGTCCCTGTCGGGATTCAAACCCACTGTGTGAGGGCAAGTGGTTTGAAGTCAACAACCTTAACCACTCAGCCAGGGACACATCCAAGTGTGTGACTGAACTGGATCAATTTGTCACTTTCTTGTAAAATTTTTAATTTTATAAAATCAGCATTGATCATGACCCTAACATATACCAAATTTGCTAATATCTTTGCAAAATATATAAATGTCAAATAAAAAAACCTTTACATAAAAATATTCCATCATTAAAACCTGATTTCAAACACATGTATTTAATTCAAGTGATACAAAGTGAAATAAAGCTATTAAGCAATGTTTACAAAAGCGCTATTTTAGAAGTTCACTTACCGTCTAACACTTCTAACAAGGTCGCCAAACGGTTTCTCCCAACAATACATCTTTATAACTCTCATACCAGCTATAATTTCATTCATTAATTTCACGCGCTCATCAGTATATTTTGCTGTTTTCTGCCTGAAAATTGACATAAGAAGTCTCTACAGTTAAATGGCCCAAAATGTGTTTTGTTTTTATTTATACTGGCCATCAGGACCAACCCATACAGCCAAAGTATCTGCGCACTTGCTGGTCCAGCCGTAGAGCCCACATCAGTGGTGACTTTCCAAGCTGAATCTTCCTCGACCTGTTCTTTGTACAGTGGTAGTAAGTGAACACAATACTTCCAAGGCATCATCTCTAACAAATAAGGGCTTTGTTCGAAAAAACCTCCAGGGAGATAGGATTCATCCTATTGAGATACCTTCAATAAAGTATGTTTATTTATGTATTTGGGAGCATCCGTGGCAGAGTGGTTAAGGTTGCCGACTTCAAGCCACTTGCCTTTCATTGTATGTTCAAGCTGCACCAGTTTCTTCAGACTCTTCACATTTGAAAGCTATCCAGCAGGGTAAAGGAAGGTCGGTCAGGGTTGCCAGCATCATAGATAAATAAAATTCCCTGACTTTTTCCTGACTTCACTGACCAAATTAGGTTTTTCACTGACCAAAACTACCAAACTTAAACGGTCTCCACCTCCCCTACAGCTGTCCAATTCACTCCAGGGCTTTTTTTCCTTCTATAGCAGGGGCCATTATAGGACTGTTTCCCAAAAAAGAAATTCTTTAAAATCATGCAGTTTTCCCACAAAATAGAATTTACATCAAGTTTTTTCTTCCCCTTTTGCAAATATACCATTAATTTATCCCCTAAATTAAGGGCAGGGCTGCTTCCCCAACCTGTGAAAAAAAGCCCTGCACCCATAAGTTTTTTTGTTGGTTTTTTTTAATGCTTTTAACAATATGGTCAATAAAACATGCTTTATACATCTAAGTTTGGTATTTTGTGTTCAGTAAAATGTTTTTGATAAGATCAAGTCTGAAGCAAAACTATTATCTTGAGCTACAGAATATTGCCATAGCCAATATAATTAATAACAAGAGGGTCATGATGGCCCTGAAATTACTCATCTGAATATAAAAACTCTCCATGAACAAGAATAATTTTGACCCCAGGGCTTTTATTTGAACAAACTTGGTAAACACCCATTGGAAAATGTTTCATGCCAAATATCTAAGCTCTAGCTCTTTTGTTTTTTTAAAAGAAGACTTTTTAGTTTTTACTATATATACATTTAAGGAAAATCAATGACCCCCATGACTGGACCAGTTTTGACCCCAGGGCTTTTATTTAAACAAACTTGGTAGACACTTACTAAAAGATGTTTCATGCCAAATATCACAGCTCTACCTCTTTGGGTTTTTCAATGAAGATATTTTTTTTTTTTTACGCTATGTACATAAAAGGAAAATCAGTAACCCCCTGGGGTGGGGCTTATTTTGGCCCAAGGACTTTTATTTGAACAAACTTGGTAGACACACACTAGAAAATGTTTCAAGCTTAATATCTAAACTCTAGCTCTTTTGGGTTTGTTACAAGAATTTTTAGGAAAATCAATGACCCCCTTGACTGGGCAAATTTTGACCCAATGGCTTTTATTTGTACAAAATTGGTAGACACTCACTGAAGATGTTACATGCTTAATGTCTGAGCTCTAGCTCTTAAAAGAGGTGAACATGTTTTTTTTTCCAGTTTTTACTTTATACATACATGTATAAGGAAAATTCTTCAAAAAAGAATTTTTCCCTGACTTTTTAGGATTTTTATTCTTCACTGACCAATTTTCAAAATTCCCTGACAATTCCCTGACCTTGAAAAAATATCAGATTTCCCTGACTTTTCAAGTCTGCTGGCAACCCTGTCGGTGATTCTACTCAGGTGCTGGTTGTGCCTAAAATAATGTACAGAGGGACAGTGAGGTCTTCCTCCACCAGTAAAACTGAAATGTCGCTATATGACCTATACTGGTGCGATTACGTGGCTTACCTGAATTTAGAGAATAATTTTCCCATCCAGCCCTGCACCGGTACAAGAAGGAGAAGTACAGCAAAACCCGCTAGTGTGGATGGGCCAAGCTCCCTCCACAATATGGCTAACACAGCTACAGCTTCTATTGGTCCCACCCACAGAAAGTGGAGAAATATCACAGCCTGTGAAATAAACAAGAACAGTATAATACAATTAATTCTTTTAAGTATCAAGCTTGGGAGTTCATTTATTCAAAATAAGATACATTGTATATGAAGGTTTCTAGAAAAGATAACAATAAATATGCTTTAGCAAACTTGTAATCATATATATATAGGGCCATATAACTTGTCAATTCTTTTTATAACTAACCATATAACTATAAGCACTGCCAGAACAAAGATTATGTTATTTTTGTTAATTAACCCTTACCCTGCTAAATATCTTAAGTGGACTTGTCCAACTTTAAATCTGGACAAAACCATTAAACCTTTTTGGGGAAAATTTCAAAGCAGGTGATGATCGAATAGTGAATTTTTAAGACCATGATCAGATGGCACGGATGAGCTGTTTGATATTGGTCTGCATGTGTTTCATAGGTATAATCTATTGCTAGAAAGTTATGGTTTGTCATTATGTAAAAATAAGGTTTAGATTAACAGAACCTAAAATTCATTTTATTTTGGCATAAAAAATATCACTCTTAACTTGTATGATATCACATCAGGTTTTTTTCCAGTTTTTTTTTTTTTACCCAACCCCAGAATTGGGAATTTTTACGATGTTTTAAACAAAATGGGAATCACTGACAAAATATTGTATAAAAGATATTTAATATTTGGTTAATTTAACTCCTTTTATATTTCATTCAAAGGCACATATTACAATTTAGATTTAAGATAACAATTTTCTATGGCACAGTGCAGTTCAATGTAACAAAATGCCATTAATTTTACTAATCTTATTTTTTTATTCCTTGAATTAGGAATTTTCTTGAAATGGGAACAAACCATACTTTTTGGCAATGGGAACATGACCCAATATTGGTCATCAAAATGGGCAAAAAAACAACACCTGCACTTAGCTTGTGGCATAGGTAGTTACAGGATTTTAATGCATATCAATAATGCCCTTAGTGCAGTATTCACATATTTTAATGGATAAATGATTATAAGATATGCATAAACATAGAATATTGTACATTTAATGCATTCATTTACGCAACATTCATTACTTCTTTCAAATGAAATTCACACATTTCACGAGTAAGCATATTAAGTTTTAATTTATATTCAATCACCTGATCCAATTATAGTGACACAAGCATGGCTATTGTCATTCAAGTATTGACAAAATTTTAATCAAAATCAGATGAAATTTGCATACTAACTTTATTCATGCTGTAAAATGAATCCCTTTTATCAGTATAAACATAGCTGTTTTTGATTTCTTTTAATCATTTAAGCTAACATTGTTGTGTGGTTAGGTTAATATTAAAAGTTGCACAAGGACTGAAAGTTTCAGTTAGAAAGCCAACAATTAAAGCTGCACGCCTCCAGATGATCCAAAATATTTCAAGAAAATCAATATTGAGAAAAATGTACTAACATTTTAAGAAAGGTAAAAACATTCAAGATCAAAGTTATATTTTACAAGTTATGTGTTGTTTAAGACTGATTTTGCAGTATTTTATCACCATAATTGCACTATATAATTATATTATACCCATCCAAAAGATACATCAGGGGGTTGCCAGAAGGGGAATGTGCCCCTTTTTCGTCAAGAAAATTTTGGGCTTGAGAGAGGCTGAAAATGACCCCAGGCCGATCATAAGGTAACGTGTAACCAACGCTGAAAAGCCTTTGACTCTATCTCAATCCCTTGAGAAGTTGCAGCACTTTGAAATAAATTTTGATGGAAAAAATCGAGGCAAAATAGTGATTTTTGGCAATTTTGAGATGTCCCCTCATTGCCATGGTAACAGGAAATTTAAGACTGAGCATGTCCTTACAAAGGCAATGGTCCAGTCAACATTTGTGCCAAGTTTGATTAGTATTGAAGCATTTTTCATAGTTTCATAGCAGTTTGAACTTGTAACAGGAGGCTTTCCTGTGAAAACGGCCATTTTTCACAATATGCTCATGTGGGAAAGGGTTAAATATCTAAATTCTTTACACAAGAAAACCTAAATCTGTTTTACCATTAAGTCTATATACCAAAGTAACCCCACCAAAACAGTTGGGCCATTTTGACCTAAGGGGCACAATTTATATAATTGTTGTAGAGGTATGCTAGGTGTGCTACATAGGCAATATATAAGTTCTTGGCATTGTAGTTTCAGAGATCAGGGTTTTCAAGACATGTCAGAATATAGTCAGTGACCCCTGGGGCTGGGCCATTTTTGTCCCAAGAGGCATAATTAATATATCTTTGAGGTCCACAATGCATTTCTACATGTCAAATATCTAAGCTCTAGGCATTGCAGCATTGCAGTTTTTTCTTCTGTACTCACCTGATCAAATCTATTGACATCATTTGACATCAGATTAACAATTTGTCCAGTAGTTGTCTTACCCAGACCTTCACTGCTTAACCTCAATGACTGAAATATATAAGTAGTTTATTCTCAATTACTGAAATATATGAGTACTTTATTCTCATTTACTGAAAAATATATATCAGTTTGCCTCAATGATTGAAGACATAAGTAGTTTAACCTCAATGACTGAAATATATAAGTAGTTTAACCTCAATGATTGAAGATATAAGTAGTTCAACCTCAATGACTGAAATATATAAGTAGTTTAACCTCAATAACTGAAATATATAAGTAGCTTAACCTCAATGACTGAAATATATAAGTAGTTTAACCTCAATGACTGAAATTTATAAATAGTTTAACCTCAATGACTGAAATATATAAGTAGTTTAACCTCAATGACTGAAATATAAAAGTAGTTTAACCTCAATGACTGAAATATATAAGTAGCTTAACCTCAATGACTGAAATATATAATTAGTTTAACCTCAATGACTGAAATATATAAGTAGTTTAACCTCAATGACTGAAATATATAAGTAGCTTAACCTCAATGACTGAAATATATAAGTAGTTTAACCTCAATGACTGAAATATAAAAGTAGTTTAACCTCAATGACTGAAATATATAAGTAGCTTAACCTCAATGACTGAAATATATATCAGTTTACCTCAATGACTGAAATATATAAGTAGTTTAACCTCAATGACTGAAATATATAAGTACTTTAACCTCAATGACTGAAATATATAAGTAGTTTAACCTCAATGACTGAAATATATAAGTAGCTTAACCTCAATGACTGAAATATATAAGTAGTTTAACCTCAATGACTGAAATATATAAGTAGTTTAACCTCAATGACTGAAATATATAAGTAGCTTAACCTCAATGACTGAAATATATAAGTAGTTTAACCTCAATGACTGAAATATATAAGTAGCTTAACCTCAATGACTGAAATATATAAGTAGTTTAACCTCAATAACTGAAATATATAAGTAGCTTAACCTCAATGACTGAAATATATAAGTAGCTTAACCTCAATAACTGAAATATATAAGTAGTTTAACCTCAATGACTGAAATATATAAGTAGCTTAACCTCAATAACTGAAATATATAAGTAGCTTAACCTCAATGACTGAAATATATAAGTAGTTTAACCTCAATGACTGAAATATATAAGTAGCTTAACCTCAATGACTGAAATATATAAGTAGTTTAACCTCAATAACTGAAATATATAAGTAGCTTAACCTCAATGACTGAAATATATAAGTAGTTTAACCTCAATGACTGAAATATATAAGTAGTTTAACCTCAATGACTGAAATATATAAGTAGCTTAACCTCAATAACTGAAATATATAAGTAGCTTAACCTCAATGACTGAAATATATAAGTAGCTTAACCTCAATAACTGAAATATATAAGTAGCTTAACCTCAATGACTGAAATATATAAGTAGCTTAACCTCAATGACTGAAATATATATAAGTAGTTCAACCTCAATGACTGAAATATATAAGTAGTTTAACCTCAATGACTGAAATATATAAGTAGTTTAACCTCAATGACTGAAATATATAAGTACTTTAACCTCAATGACTGAAATATATAAGTAAAGTAGTTAATTTTCTATAACTGAAATATAAAAATAGTTTAACTACAGGGTAATTCTTAAACATCACTGACTGACATATAGAAAGAGTAAATCTCAGTGAATGAGATATATATAAACTGTTTTTCCTCATTGACTGAATTATATAGGTGTTTTTTTTAAATTTTATTGATGAAAACAACAGACATGATGCCAAGTTTAAAGAAATTCTATAATTGAACAGATTTAATTCTGTCTATATGTCTATATTATGAAAGCCTTCAAAAACATCCATCACTGTGAATGACTGACATATACAAATAATCTAACCGTACTGACTGAAATTTGGATCTTATTGAAGATTTCTTATAATACAATGAACTCAATAAGTTATCTTTACAGTATATTTAAGTCGCGTCACGACAAAACCAACATAGTGCGTTTGCGACCAGCATGGATCCAGACCAGTCTGATCAGGATCCATGCTGTTCGCTTACAAACCCTATAACAAGTAGAGAAACTGATAGCGAACAGCATGGATCCTGATCAGACTGCGCGGATGCGCAGGCTGGTCTGGATCTATGCTGGTCGCAAACCCATTATTTTGGTTTTGTCGTGACGCGGCTCATTTAACATTTAACATATTGACAAGTTCCTTAAACTAAATGCAGGAGAATAACATAAGTGTTTAGAGATAAGGACATTTGTTGTGATAATTATGTTTGAAAAATTTTGAAAAAGTAAGCTGGCTGCCTTATGACAAACACATTGTAATATAATACTCATAATATTATCTACATTTCGTGGTTATATCTTTACTCTTAATCAACCCAAAAACCACCAAATAAGATTAATAAATGCAGCGCTTTAAGAAAAAAATACCCTGTTCTAATAATAAAGATTGAAAGCATGAAAAAGTTAGTTGACTGGTTGGCTTGCTACAGTAATTTCAGTTAAGCAGATACTGCTAAAACAGGAGGTACTGTAAGATCAATAATATGTTAATTTATTGTCTACATCAAACAACCATCTTTATTCTCTCCTAACTTTATTCTCTCCTGCTCCCACCACTCCCCCCCCCCCCCCCTGCCCAATAACACATACTACATTAGACATGATGCTAATTGTTAACACATCACTAAAGTATCTTATTACAGACAGTATTTACCAATAATCAATACAATCATTACATTTTTATGGAGAAAACTGATAATAAAACCAATGGTTAGACAGCAAATTTCATGTAAGCAGTAAAAAGCTATTTGTACATCTATTCCATCAGTGCTTAACCATTTAACTGCCACGGACAGTAATAAGGGAACATGGGAAATTCATGCAACAAATTTTATTCACTGTACAGCTGTGAAATCAGAGGATGAAAAGCTTTTACAACAAATAACCAATCCTAAATAAATGAATAACATTTCATTTCTTTGATAGTATAATCAAATGTAACATAATCTAAGCAATAATTATCATTATTTTTCTGAATCAGCCTAACATAAAATTTGTACTCTAAACAAGTTTTTGTACTCTAAACAAGTTTTGGAAAACAAATTGAAGATACAAAACTTGTAAAGTCACATGATTTAACAGTGCAAATTTGTGGTTATTAATAATAACCACAAATTTGAATATAAATAATTGTATAAAATAAACAATGAAATTAAAATTTTCAAGGTCCATTCGTAGCACTAATTACCTAGCTTAAACATACTTAAACATATTTAATTATTTGAACACTCACCTGTCTATATCAAATATATTAACACTAACCAATAAGTTTGTTTAACCCTTTACTTCATGAGCATATTGTGAAAAATAACTGTTTTCATTGAAAAGCCTCCTGTTACAAGTTCAAACTGCTATAAAGCTATGAAAAATGCTTCAATACTGATGAAATTTGGCACAAATGTTGACTGGACCATAGCCTCTGGAACAGCATGCTCAATCATAAAATTTCCTGTTACCATAGCAACGGCGGGACGTCTCAAAATTGCTTTTTTCCCATTAAAACTGATTTCAAAGTGCTGTAACTTCTCAATGGATTGAGAAAGAGTAAAAGGCTTTTAAGTGTTGGTTACACGTTACCTTACGATTGACCTGAGACCATTTTTAGCCTGTCAAATGTCTAAAATTTTCTTGGCGACAAGGGGTGCTGCTGTCCCCCTTCTGGCAACCCCTTGATGTACCTTTTTGATAGGGGGCGGGCCGAAAAAGTGATTGTTTGTGGCCTTAAAAAGGGGGGGGGGGCAGAGCCGTCAAAACACGTCTATATGAGGTAAAGGGTTAAACTCTTGCCTTTCTATACACACTAATTGAACACTCACCTTTCTATATAAATTATTTGGACACTCACCTTTTAAAAAAAAATTATTTGAACACTCGCCTTTCTAGATAAATTATATTAACACTCATTTTTCTATATGAATTTTTGAACAACCACCTTTTTCATAAATAATTTGAACACTTACATTTCTTTATAAATTCTTTGAACACTCACCTTCTATATAATTTTTTTTGAACACTTACCTTTTTAAACATGTAAATTATTTGAACACTCATCTTTCTATGAACACTCACCTTTCTATATAAACTATTTGAACACTTACCTTTGTATGCATGTAAATTACTTGAACACTGCCTATCCATAAAAACTATTTGAACACTTACCTTTTTTAATACATGTAAATTATTTGAACATTTACCTTTCTATATAACAAAGAGCAACATGCTATCCTCATTTTCATGCCTATACGTTGAACACCAAAGAAATATGGGTGATGTGAAATGGCTAACATAATTGCACAAAGACTCACGCCCATGGCGTACAGGTAACTTTCTGTCTTGCTCACACCAGACCCAGGTGTGAAGTAACGAATCAATCCACCTAGTAACAGTGGTTGGATGACTTTTGTGGCCTCCTAAAATTTTAAGAATAAAAACTAACTTAAATACAGTAAAACTTAACATATACATGTGCAAAGATAAGTAAGTGGTATTGAAAGAAATTGGGATTGCAGGTACTTTGGGCAGCTTTCAAATCATATATTAAAATTTTAATGTTTGTTTTTTTTCTAGTTCACAATTCTACAATCATGTAAGACAAAAATTTTCAACAGTCCTTAAAAAAATGTGCTGTCTCAAACATTTTCAGCACTTGACTGTTAGAAAAGGGGCATTACTCTGTAAAAATAGTAACTCAGAGTTATGTAACCTGTCTCCATGTTTGATAATCACAGGGAACAAATGTGTGAAGTCTCAACCCATTCCCTTTGGTAGAATTGGAGATAAAAAGCTTTACCAAAGTGTGACGCTGGCACCAACACCATGGAGAGTACTAAAGACTCAAATAGTTAAACTAAAACTTGAACTGAACTTTATTCAGTTTAAAATTCAGCAAATCAATTTTTTTATTTTCTAAAATCCACAAAAATTTGAGATAGAAATAAATTTTCCCTGCTTGTTTTCAGTTGATCATAAATTTATAGAATCCATTCCTTCAACAGATTCAATGTCTCTTGATCACCCAATGCATTGAGTAAACACAATATGCAACCAATTTACTTGCTCACAAACTGGCTATATTTTTCTGGGGTTTATATATTATGATGTCAGAAAAGCATTGTGTTATAGACTACAAAAAAAAACTGAGAGAAACATGGAAACACTTCGATATCCGATTCCTACTTTGAAACGAAGCCACCTCGTACAAATCAGATAACGTTGTGTTTGGATTCTCTTTCTATCATTTAGTTTATGTGCTAGAACTATTAAAGTGAATCAAATAAATTTTGGGGTCAGGGAAATAATTAAAATATGTATACCTCTAAAAACAGAACAAATCCTAGAAGAATGTATTCTAGACCAAATATTTTAAACAAGGCTTGAAACAAACTTGGCTTTCTTTTCCCATCCTTGCATTTGTCTACTTCTTTTTTCCACTCTCTACAAATTAAAATCATAATATATAAAAGTATAGTTATTGTTAAAGGGACTTAACTGAGGTTTTTTGACATGACTTGACTGGAAATATATATTTTCAAGATTTATGTTCTATTTAATGTAGGTCTATATTAATAACTTAAATGTGCAAAATTTTGGATCCTTCAATCATTCTGTTTTTCCAAATAATTATTTTGATTGTGAAAAAATGACTCAAAAATGAAAAAAAGCATTTGTACGCTTATAACTCTGATAGTCCCACAACATTATTTCAGGCATGACCTAATCCTTTCAGCAAATAAAAAAATGCCCATTACATGCCCCAGAAATGCATTTTAATTCTGGATACTTTCAATTAATTGAAGACATTATTCTTTTTGGTCAATTGATACTGTTCTGTCACGATAATTATACAGTGACATGATAACTAGTGATATACTTCACATAAATATCCAAAATAATTCCATCATTCAGTGTAATGTACCGGTACATGTAGTTGGTAAAGATGTTATCTGTGTATATCTTCTTATCAAAATGCAAAGTTTGGGGCTGTTTTTTTCCCAACAAAACTGACAATTTTACAAATTTCTTTCTTGTATATTTTGTGTTTTTCTTATGAATATTATAAAAGTATTTTATCTGCTTTCTATTTTAATGTATTTTTTCATACTATGTATTATTTTAATTATCTTATTTCTCATTTTTATCATGATATTTTTTTTCATTTAACTGCATGCGTGACATTTACATTTGTATTACAATTCACAACATTATGCATGTAAAACACAATGAAGATTTTTTTAGCCGTTTCATTGAAATTAAGTTATCAAAAGTCCAATTTTTTAAAAGTTATATCTAGCAAGTCTTTGCAACTATGTTCTGAACGGAATGCATATAATGTAAACAAATTACATTAACCCGTAGACAACTTGTCATGAAATATGTAAATACGAAATGTTTGATCTCATGCCATCCCAGCGATTTTAAACTAATTTCACCATCCAGACATTAACTAATCAATTGTTAAATGTTTAAAAACCACACAGTTGTACATTTTCAGGTGATGGTTAGAAGCTTATGTGTCATAATTAATAACATCTACAAACAGTATTAAAGATAAACTTCTACATTTTACAAAATGAATTAGCAAAGTGAGATGGTGCTATGATTGGGTCAAGGTCACATTGGATCGGATCTAGACAAAAGCTAACAAATTTTATTTCTTCAAGGTCAAGGTCAGCTCAACTTTTCATAAGGTCCTGTCCGAAAGGTTGTTTTGTCCAAGTTTGAAGTACTTGGATGAAATCATAATTATTGTTTATGTAAAATTATTCCTCTCCTAGAAATATAGTCTGAAGCTCAGACACACAGCTGCTTCCATTTTATTATAGAGTCAAGTTTCTCTGAATAAAACTGTTGTTTTGGGTTGTTTTTTTCTTTGGCATCTGAGTAAAAAACAAGCATTTAATAAATTTATATGTAAAGCTACATGTAAGTGGCTTAGTTTTGATCACAAACACTAAATCCAGCCATCCAGCTAGCTTATTTGATGTCAAATATGAGGTCACATGTACTAATGGTCAGGCCAAGTCGATGTTGGATTACAAGTTTTTCGGCCCTAGACTGCAAACTCAACATCTGTTATGTGACAATTAGTTGACACCATGGCCAATTTACATATCTTATATATCAATTTACTATTTCAGTAAAAATTGTATCAGGTAATAACTATATTAATTGTATATTTCTACATTACTAATATTTATAGCAACAGGTGTATCAAATGTATAATTAATCGCATGTTACTATGACCATTTAGCACAAAAAAGACCGGCAACACAATGTTAATGGCAAGTAATTGCTATTTCAATAATGATTGAAAGTTGAAATTTCAATTTTGTGCACGAAATGAAACTTTAAACTTTATTGACCACATGGCATTTGAACGACACTTTTAAATTCACTGACCACATGCACATCTTTAATTTCATTGTAGTTAATCAATATAGCAAATTCTAATGTATAATGGTATAGTTCATTTGACTATACAGTTCATATGGTCATGGTGTAAATTATTCATGTCAATGGCAAAATCTGACTAGGCCATTCAGTTAGTTTCTCGATAGTTATTTTCCAAAGGTATAGAAAGGTATGATTTTTTTTCAATTTTCAAAACAACCTGTGGCTTACTGAATGGGAAAATATAGCACCATAAATTGGAAAGAACAGAAAACCTATTTTTGGGTCATTTTTCGCAATCCAACTCCAAAACTGAGAAAGGAATTTACCCATTCCTTTTATAAACTTTTCAATGGTTCTTAAGTGAGGACTATGCATAGGGTATTTCAGGGAAGAATATAGCATTTTTAGGGGACCATTAGGGGAAACAGCCTTAAATTTGACTGTAACTTAAAGGGCCGAAAAATCACTGTAAACAACCTACTTTTCTAGTCTTTCACCAAGTTTGTCTGACTGATCTTCGACAGTTACATTGTACATATCATCTATTTCCAGTTGACGCCCATATCCTTTTTTGAACAATGGATTCATCCACCTGCAACAGAAAACAGTCTTACCTTCATACTTCCATCACAAAATTTTTCTCCTTGAATTTATACATCTATTACAAAATGTCTTTCTATCCCTCAAATAGTCTTCAAAAAGCACAGATATTGTATTTATAATACCAGGGATCACTTATTTGATTGTATATATTTTTATAGGTATACAACAGTTAATGAGTTAAAAGTAATTTGATGATTATTTTTATATAAAGTGTATTAATTTGTTATGTTCTGATTAATCACTGAAGCGTGACAACAGTGTAATCTGGCTTTTTAGGTTTTTGTGGAACGAATTTAAAAGCGAGCCAAATGTGTAAAGATGTTGTCAATATCTTGTTTGGTGCCCATTTATGTTGATAATGGCCTGACAAATTCATCTCATCAAGCTACTGATTAGTCCACAAATGGGGTATTAATTGTGGAAACAAACCCACTCCTTTAAGAGATGACCTATTTTTTTCTCTCTTTATTTTTTTTTTTTTTTGGGGGGGGGGGGGGAGGCACTGACGTTTTTTCCATTGTCAAGTGACCTTGGCACAAACAGGCACCTGAGTAGAACCACCCATATTCTGTAAGCTTGGATACCTTCCTCACATGAAATAATCCAAAGTCCCTGTTGGGATTCGAACCCACAGCAGTGAGGGGCAAGTGGTTTAAAATCAATATAGTTGTTTTTCTCTTCTATAATCCTTAAACTTAAAACGTATTTTTTCTTTGATTTCAAATGGTGACCTAGTTTTTTACCCAAGATTATCATTCAGACATTCAGTTTAATGAAGATTAAATAAAAATTGTAAATTGAAACTGTTAATAACATTTTACTTTGATTTGACCTGGTGACCTAGTTTTTGACCAAAAATGATCAATTTTCAAACCCGTCCTAGCAGCCACTAACATTCTGACAAAGTTTGATGAAGATCCAAGATCAATATTGTGACCTTTGAACTGTTAACTGTGGATAGTGGACACTGACAACCAGATCAACTGACCTATGCTAATTTTAGCTCAGTGCCATGACCTAAACCTCAGTTGAGCTTAAAATTTAAAATTTGCCTTTTTTATTCTTCACAACTAATAAAAGTTCCAAATTAGACAGACTCAAACCAATTCCAAATTTGGCAGACTCAAACCAATTCCAAATTAGACAGACTCAAACCAATTCCAAATTAGACAGACTAAAACCAATTCCAAATTAGGCACACACAAACCAATTCCAAATTAGACAGACTAAAACCAATTCCAAATTAGGCAGACACAAACCAATTCTAAATTAGGAAGGCTCAAACCAATTCCAAATTAGACAGACTCAAACCAATTCTAAAAAGGTGAGAAAAGCCCTTCTCATAAAAGTTGAAATGGGCTATAAAATTAATTAAATATTATGTAGCTACATTGTAGTTCTAAATAATAGCAAAAGACATCTCTGTATCAATATATAAAATTGAGTCTAAAAGCAAAATGCGATTTTTTTTCATGTCACGTAAATTTCACCAAATTTGTTACACAGTGCCTATATTTGAATAACCTAGAAAAGGTCATCAACATTTAGATAAAGTTAACATAACAGAAAAATGAGGTTTTTAAGGATTTCCTTATCACATATTTTAATCTTCCCAAAGAAAAAGAATTCATTGCTTGAATGTGCTAAAACATGACCGTACAAAGGTCAAGATAATTGTTACTTTGTTAAATGTCTTTGCTATATAGCGTATGATTGTTTGTAAATGGCCAAAGACAATATTCTTTGTTGATTTGCCAATAAACTTGAAACCAGGATAATGAAGTAACAAGTTCCCATGTTGATATTTCAGAAAGAAGCACAAGTTATTATGCAATACATGTTAATATAGATCTGTCCATCACACCAACAGCAAACGCTAAAACATTCTGTCTAGCTATTGAATCAAGTCATCATCTTATCAGCTCAAAAGTAGACAAAAAAAACAAAACTATATAGAGCCTTATATAAACAGAAAAATAATTAACTTGTTAGATTTGTTTTGAATACATTGATACTTTCATCAAATAGTGATGGCCTAGTAATTAAGGTATTTGCCTCTAAACACATGATCTGGATTAAAGTTTGAGCCCTGCCTAAGTAGAAACTACTTGTATGTTGCCTTTTGTAACACAAGTAAAGTGAAGCCAATGAAATATAAACCTCATAAAATAATTAAAGGAACTCCACTAAGGTCAAAATGTTTAAAAACATAAATATGAAATACTTACATAATTATATCAAGAAAAGCATTTTAAATTGAAAAATTTGCAAATGATAATTACAAATATACTCAAAATTTAAGTGAATATTGGTTTTTTGTTTGATTCTTAGCTTGATTTGAGTGTACAATCCTTTTCATTTTTGTCTCATTTTGCAAAATGAAATTGATTATTCTTGAAAAAGGAGTGAAGTATTGATCTGAAAAATTTGTACACAAGTTATTGGTGCTGACCTTCATCAAATGGCACACAAATCTCAGAAAAATATTTCCACTTCTGTCACGTCAAAAAACCTCAGTTGAGTCCCTTTAATATAACTAATAAGTTATAAATATTTGATAAAGGGAAAAACAACACATCAAAACACCAGGTTGATAATATGTATTTATTATAACTACTGGTTTCGGGTACTATATACCCTTCTTCGAGGTTAATGTGAATATTTGGTAAAGAATATAATTGTTAAACTACATGTATATGTAAAAGGCCATCATATAGAGCAAAGTAAAACATCTTAATGCCACTGTCAACTTCATTTAATCAAATTAAACTAAAGGATGTTCTGTTTACTGTCTTCACTAACTGACCTGCTTAAGCTACAGGATCCTAGATAGTTCATTGACTTATCTATACTAAGATAGCCTGACCTCCATTTAATCGCCCCAAAACCCTGTTTTATCAAGAAACTGACATTTTCAACAATCATTTTTAAATAAATAATAGACAATGTTCTAATTTCTAAACTGACAAAATCTATTTCAATAGAGAACATGGGCCATCCATTGAAGTCCACTTGAGATCTAAAAATAGAAATGTTGTAAGTAGGAAATAGTGACGTAAAGTGCAAAAGAATATACAGTTGTATATCTTTTGAAAAAATTTATAGTTACAATTTCTACATTAATATCTGCCCATGACAGCCCACCCTGCATACAATCTAACCTATATTGTCCCTTTTTCAGCTCCAACTTAACATCAATGTGGTTGAATTATTAAGTCACACAATACTCTATGAAACATAAAATATATTTGAAATATATGAAATTCAGAATAAATAAAAATGACGGAATTTGATTTGGCCTTATTTCATCCCCTGGTGATACATGTAGGACAAAAAAGCTGTCGCTATACATGTATATCAGAACAGAAATGGCATGACCAATTCTCAATTCATAATTTTGGTGCCGAAATTTGGAACTACTGTATTTTATATCGGCACCATTTCCCTCTCAAAAAGTATAATAATTACATGTATATAAATTTGCATAAGTAAATTTGAGATTTGTGTTTGATTTTTTACCAATTTTGTCTGTCAAAATGCAGGGCAAGTACATTTTATGAAGGGTGAGTAAATTTGGAGGCAAGTGGCCCTAGAAAAATTCATTGAGGCCTGTGTATTATAAATTCTGACTTTTTTTACAGTCTTACAGTAAATTTTTAAGGTCATAGTCTTATTATTGTGCTTTGTATCAATGCATAGATCCCTGACCTATCTAGTTTTAATTGACACAATAAGAATTTCACCAAAACATATTTGTGAACAAAAGATCTATTTTTTATAGTTAAATCTATTGTTACTCATATAAAAGGTTAGTGTCTGGATCTAACAACAGCTCTTGTTGTATGGTTGACTGAACTGGTCAAGCAAGTTTTATGAAGGATGAGTGATTGGTGTGGAATAAATTTGGGGGCTAACAGATTTTCATATTAAATAACCTCCATTCTTTTCATTGCTTTCAAAGTAGTTACAACAGTTTTGAAAAAGCTGATTATTTGTTGTTAAAAATACTTACAGATTGATTTATTTTGTAATCAATACCTTGCATATTTTATAGTAATCTTGATACTTCTAATATCAAACCTGGTATGTATATATTTACTTTGCTGTAATTGTGAAATGTAAATAATGTGTATATATTTATAATGTAATTATGAAAGTGAATTGTATTTTGTTATTGGAACTATTATTGTATTGTTTTATTGTTATTATTATACATACTTCTGAATAAATATTGAAACCTCACTGAGTTATTATGTAACTTAAAATTATAGGCAAGAAATTACAGTAATGGAATAATTGTGATTTTTCTGCTAATTTATGAATGAAATCTTTTTTTTTTTTCTTTTTTTTTCAGCTTTTGGTCCACATATGTGGAACCCCATTTATTGGAAAGACATATATACAATCATAAAATTATGCATAGTCATACAAATATATATAGAAGATCAGTAAAAAAAATAGAAAAAAGGAAAATGTGATATGATACAGTTTCAAAATTTTCACATTAATACATGTAATATGAAAAAGGCAAAGCCTCAAAGCGAGCTTGATTTTCTTTTACTGTAAAATAGTTAAAAAATAATTGTTCATTTTCATTTTACATTTTCTGTTTTAATGCTTCCGTTTATTCTGGTTCCCCTTTTCTTTATGGTTCCTATATAAGTGCGCAGGACACCTTTGTGTCGAGCTCGTTATAATAGTGAGCTAGAAGAGCAGGCCCAAAGGGAGCTTTACGGTAATGCGAGTACCGGTACCTGCTAAAAGTGATGGTTTTAAAAACTTTCGTCCAAAGTACTGAATTGACACATCTCAACTTTTCAAATTACAATATAACTATGAAAACAGAGGAATTCTGACTGAAAAAGGATGGGTAGACTGGTCACCAGCGCACTTTTATGGGAACCATAATGGGACAGGGAACCAGAATAAACGGGAGCAGTGTATAAAATACCGAAGCAGTTTTAAAACGGAAAATGTAAAAATGAAAATTGAACCATTATTTTACAGGCTGGTGAAAATGCCCGATCGGGCTTAGACATAAAGATATCATATTTCTATAAAAATAATTAAAATGTTTCTTTCTCAATTGTTTTGTTTATTAAGCATTGATATATGATACAAATCAAAATCAAAATATTTTGGTTATCTTTTATTTTGTTGGAATTATTTCCCTTTTCCTAATTTTCTACAAACAAAATATTTGAAGTTCATAAAATTATATTGTAATGTAAAATTCTAAATAGAAATGTGTCTAACAAGTTCATTTTGCTCCAGATTTTTGCGCCAATACCTTCTATATATTTGGATCAAATATTCTGTTTCTGGCATTTATATTTTGACAATTCTTTGACACTGAACATTATACTTTGAAGTTTTCTCTGAAAACTGAATGATATGTATGCTGACAGGTGTTGGCGCAATGAATTAGAGCATAAAGAAGTTATTTAACCTATTTTGTTTTACGCTTTGCATATGTAATATACTTTTTAAGGACTTCAAAAATTATGTGTTATGCAAGAGAGATCAGTAATCACATGTGTCGCCTTATAATGGCCAATTTCATGTTGGGACAAATTTTGTGACAGACAGACAGACGGACAGTGCACAACTAGACTTGGTACTGATCATTCCTGTAAAGTTTGGATGAAATTGCACCAGTAGTTTATGAGGAGTAGTCCGGACAAGCTTTTGTGTATCTGGCAACACACAGAAAAAAACACCTTTTTATCAAAGGGCTATAACTCGGCCAAAAATCATTCAACTGGAAAACCCTTGCAATATGCGCAAGGACTTGAGCTACTGATCAATCCTGTAAAGTTTCATTGAAATTGCATTAGTGGTATAAGAGAAGTAGTCCGGACAAACTTTAAAATTAAAAATTATTAAAGGGCCATAACTCTGACAAAAATCATTAAACCGGAAAATGCTGACAATATGCACAACTAGACTTGGTACTGATCATTCCTGAATGAAATTGCACCAGTAGTTTATGAGGAATAGTCCGGACAAATTTTGTGACGGACGGACAGACAGACGGACGACGGAGAAGTGATCCCTATATGTCGCCACTACTCCGTAGAGGCGACACAAAAATCATGAAAAAAGGGAAATAAATTTCACAAAAGTGACAGTAGGCAAATATTTTTCTTTCTGTTTATGTCAAATATTATTCTCAATAAACAAACAAAGTTTAAAAGAAATATCTTTATTTATTTTCTACAAATATGACTTTTTATGACATTTAAGCCCGATCAGGCATTTTCACCAGCCTGTTTTATACTATTAATAATTTCACGGTAATAGGAAATCGAGCTCGCTTTGAAGCTTTGCCTTTTTCAAATTATAATTTTGAAATGTGATTATATATAAATATTCGTTAGGAGGACATTGTAGTACGGTGGTTTAATAATTATATTATATGATATTTAACAAACAGATGATTTTGTGAGATAGTTTTTACATTCATTTATATATTGTTATTTTCTCATCCTTGTCACCATTGTGCCCCCAGCTAGAAAAAACCTAAACGAAAAGTGTACACGAAGAACAGATTAAATAACCAATTGACACCTGTAGGTCTCTAGAACAAAATAAAAAAATCGGACTTCAATTGGCAATTTAAGTCCATGACAAAAAAAAGAGAAAATCTGACTTTCCAGTTCAAACACTTTGCCTACTTCCATTATACATCATAAATTTTAAAGTATAAATTAATTAATCTACTGTATGGGTCGAACATTTTTTGAACGAATGCCTAATGTATGTCATTGAAAATTACTTGGAAAAATACCCACCAGAAAAATATCTTTGAAATTGGATTAGCATGGATCACTGGATTCGGATTATGGTGTTTCAAAGACTCGTCCATGTTGCCGTTTACTTTTGTTAAACCTGACTATTTGTGAAATTTATGCAACTTTCGTTTTCCACATTGTGACAGTGTTGTGTAATTTCCGCAGATTTTTTTTTAACGAACCTGCCCAAGTATTCCGAGTGGCCGCGGTTTTTAGTTTCGAATTTTATTAAGTAGATTTAATTTGAATAGTTAAAGTACAATATTTAAAAGCAATATAAAGTATGTCTTCTGCTCCGGATGTTCATTAGCCATCATAGCAATAATTTATATAATTCGAAAATAATAAGCTAGAAACATTAAAGGTCCGACGCACTTATTCCATTTTAGGTCTGTGACTACAATTAAAATCAAGCACTATAATGAAAGGGCCAAAAAGTTGCGATTGGCATTCAAGTGGACTTTAGTATTAATAAAAATATATCTTTATAATATGTACACTTTAATCTTAATGTAATATTTCTGTAAAATTTGGCTGGAATTCAACAAATTAATCATATTAGTAATTGTATTAATAAAGCAAATGAAAGCACTGGATTGGTTAGAAATAACTTCTTACATGTAAATTCCGGAAAATTTATAAAACACTGATATGTAAGACCACACCTTGAATATGGGAATATAAATTGGAGTCCAAGATTTAAAAAAGATATTGAAGCAGTTGGAAGAGTTAAAAAAATAGCCACAAAAAGTTAAATTTATTAGGAATTTATCATATGTAAAAAGACGAAATGTTTTGGAAATTCATATCTTGGCATGTACAGAAGAGTTCTAGGTGATATCATTCAAGTTAATTATTAAACGGGATAGAAGATAAAGATTATAATTATTTTTTGAAAAAGCACGATTTGATAATCATTATATCAGAGGCATTTATATGAGGTTGAAAATAAAATCATGTAAAAAGTCATTAAGAGTAGTACAAGAATGAAATATATTACCAGATACTGTGGTATGTTTACTAACGCTGATTTCCTTGGGGGAAAAAACAGACTTGATAAAGTTATGAGAAACAAATTATATACTGTCATACCGGAAAATAATTATTTGGTGTCAGACATTGTGGAGATTACATGAGATTGCTGATCTCTCGACACTACGTTGGATAAAGTGGATAAAGTAAGACAGCTCTATATCCAAAGGCATGCATAGAAAATATAAGAGACTAGTAAGGAGGCATGAGCGCAGAAAAAGCCGCCCAAAAGCGGCGACAGCGGATTTTATCTTCTTTTCCGGCATTCAAAAAAAGTGTGAAGCGCTGTATGGCTGCCCTGTACTTCACTTTAGAGTTGGTTCTTTTTCTGGTCTTTCGGGATCATTGATTCCAGCACATTAAATATTGAATATTGAATACCGCGCTTAAGTCAGTGCTAGGGAGCGTGAGAAATGTTGCATTTTCTCATTATCCCTTATGAACAGACTCAATCAAATCGGGTCTGCAAGTTTCATGTTATTTTGTTTTTGTTAATGCTTCCAATTAAGGGATCATACTAAATATAATAAAATGCGTCTTCTTTCAACTATCCAACGCATTGTAGTTTTGGCATTTTTTTTTTAAAAAATGTCACCTCACCACAGGCTGGTACATTTACAAAAGGGTATATATTTAAATGATTTAGACAAAAAATCATCTATGTCAAGTATTTGCATTGTTTATCCTTCTGTAAATTTAAACGGTTGCAACGTTTTATTAAAATTATAAACACATCCACTTATGCTTATTTGCAAAATCCGCAAGATATCCGTCATGAACATCTCGAAACGGTTACTTCCCTTTATAAGTACACTTACGCCGAAAAATTAAGTGGAGATCACTGCGTAAAGATTGTCCAATGACAGGCGCATTAATTTACAAACCTTCTCAGGGTAGAAAAAATAGTTCCCGATTGGTCGAAGATTTCTAATATTGTGCAATTCTTTAACATTTCCGTAAATTACCGGTAATATATTCAAATAATTTTGTTACTCGGATGAATATCATTTCAATCAATGAAAATTGCTCGGCTATTTCCGTAAAGCTTCGGATTATTGTTAACGTCTAAATGAATATTTAAGGATGTTGACTCTATGACAGATATACATGCTTCCCATTTCTCCGCTTTAAATGTTGTTGAAACTCCTGTAGGCTATTATTTTATTTATTTAATGACTTTCTGAGAGCAACATAAGTATAATCATGCAATATATGCATTGATTAACTTAATTTCAATGAATTTCTTTTTAGGTGTCCTTCAGTACTGGCTGCTCAAGGTGTCCCATCTGTGACGAGAGGAACAGAGAATATTTTTTATATTACATGGTCACTCATCTGAAAAATGTAATACGAAAAAACCTGTGGCATAGAAAATATTCACTATTAAGACATCAGTCAACAAGATATAATCGACATTTTCAGTTGCATTTTCATTACTATGTTCTTTGAAAACACTGTACAGGAAGTAGTAGTCAAGTTTTATTTATCATGACATTTCGCGATCAATACAACTTTTATTTTTTTACACAATATTAAAGGTTGGGATGATCACTTTTTTATAAAAAAAATCTGAGCATTTTTGTTTAAGGCACACATGGCACAAACCCGCCACAATAATATAGCTTTTATTCATTCGTCGGGGTCTTTCATATTTAGCAGGAACATTCCTTTGTTTCATTTCTCTTGTCCAGGTCAAGTAAGGTAAAATGCAGTTATAGCCCCTAGAAGTTTCCAGACCAGGAATAATTTACCTATGTTTCAAGTTTCAACAAAATGGATTTATACAAACCCCGAAGGCACTGGTTTGGCAATTTTTGACTATATTGTAGCTTCTCAAAAATAAATTGTTTTGCAGAAATATTCCTTTGATGGACCTTTCTAAAATCTTCTAAAGAATTATTTTAATTTAAAAAAATCGCATTGCTGTAAGGAGATTGGAGTTGTTTGCGTTTTTATATGAGTAAGATACATTGTAGCTGCTGTAAAAGAGAACATTCAACAATCAAATTGTTTATAATACATTTTAGTTTTATTTCATATGTATTATTGGCCATTTTTCGTTTGAAATCTGCATATCAAAAAATTGTTTATATGCTCATATTTTATAAAATTATTATGTGCCTGTGGCAAAGGCGTTGAGGCAGTTCGCTATACCTCAGTGCAAAATAAGATATCGTCATTATCATGAGGTTAAAAACCTCTTCTGATATGCAAGGTTTTAAAACACTAGTGACAGTTAGATTTTCGGATATGAGCACATATTAAGTTTTTGGAACTTAACATTATCTATTTACATCAAAACTGAGTAGTAATTGAGGGACAGTTGTCAGCTTGCATCATGACTGACTGTTCAGGTACATACAGATTAGTATGTCCTTTTGCATTGGAGCTGTTATTTGCAGCTGTTTCGTGGAACTAACCAATTTCGAGAGCATACTTCATCTCAATGTCTTCTTTACGTAATATTGTAAAGAAAAAAAAATCTGATACGAATTTCTAAGACTTTTTCTATTGACTGTTTAAGTAATAGAAAGAGCATCGAAACACGAGGCTATCTGATTTGTACGAGGGGACGTAGCCCCTGAGTATAAATCAGATTGCCGAGTGTTTTGATGTTCTTTCTCTTTTGTATCATAGTCAAAAATAAAAACACGTTCCCTGATGTCACAAAATGAAACCCTAGAAAAAAGGAACCAATGAACGAGCATCTGAATATGATATTTCTATCGCTTTCTCTTTCCCCGTCGTCACAATATGTAAACCCCAGACAAAATAAACCAATCAATGGGCATGCTCTGCAGTGCGGGTAACTAATACCTGCACTCCAGTTAACGCACTGTGCATGTATATTTATACGATTTAACTCTGACACATTTTCAACAGAAAGGTCCCCAAACTATGATACAATAATTTTTGTACAACTTCTTATGTGATATACGGTAGATGATAAATCATAATAAATGATTAACTCATTTAATTTACGGAACGAAAGTCTTGAAAAGGAAATGACTATCTAAAGGTCTATAGATGTGTTACATTGATCAGATACATTTGTTGACATTTACGAAACATACTTACTATCAGAAACGTGGTTTGATATAGGAGTCTTAAAGTGAAAACACGAATTTGATATGTTCTGGATGCATATATCCAGTTCAAAGAATATGTATCATAACATAAATTATGATTAAAAATACAAATACATTTGTATTGAAAAAAGTTCAAATATTCCATCTGCAGAGTGATTGCCATTATTCTGAAGGACATGAATTGAAATGAATAGTTTGCATTTTTTTGTTGTTGCTAAAATGAGATGGAAACATGTACTCTATAAATCTTGGCGAAATGACCATTCATTTTCTTTTTCAGGCAGTGTGTGTATGGACAGGGACATGCCGCTAATCATGTCTATAAAGTCACCACATGCCGAAAGGTGACCTTTTAATTTTGATTTCAGTAATTCACTGATTTATACTATTTAATCTGTAGATATGTCGACTTTGTGACAATTTACTAGTCGCGTTGCAGTCTCTAGAGCCAATAGCCGGGCTCAAACCGGTTTTAGCAATTATGGAGCAAGAAGATATGAAGCATTGCACACACATCGGTCACTCAAATCGACGGTTTGGTGGAATTAGAATGATAGTAAAATACGAAGAACCAGTGGAAACATTTCAACTTCAGGAATTCCAAATTTCATATCCGTGAATCCAAAATTTAAAATCCGCGAATTCATGAAGATGAAATTGCCTTTAAAACGAGGCATTTGCTATATCCAAATACAGCCCTAAAATTAAGAATTTTCTGTTCACAGCGGCTTGCCGCTTCACGTTCACAGAACCCTTTGACTACAAATTAAGTAGTTTGATCCCCGTTACTCCACTAATTTAAATTGAGACTGAAGTCCCGCGTAATTGTGCTTTACACCTCGCACATGAAAGAATCATCATCACCATTATCATTTAATTACAGTTACATGTCTTGCAAGTTCTTGTTTTATGTAGTTGTTAAATCTAAACTGGTACGTGCCATTATAGTAAATGTTTTTGCCAAATTAACAAGGTTAAAATTTATCAGTTGTAGATTTAAGTTGTATATTTCTTATTCCTTTTGTCCTAATGCGACTAGCCATAAATTGATACTTTATATATACAATATCGACGAAAATATCTGAATTTGTAATCATTTTGTTGCACAAACTACATGCGCATTACAACGACATATTTTTTTATTAATTTGATTTTGCTATTTTAAGAGAATGCACGCATATGGGCGACCATTATCAATATTACAGACGCAATTGTACGATTACATGATATGTTTTATATTTTACATGTATTCTTAATTTTTTTTATTATTTTGAAAGAAATAAAAAATATAAGTAAGATATGTGGAATATCAAAGGAATCGTTAGTTTAACTTTCATTATGAATGGAGTTTATGGTATTAACCTTTTCAATGGAAAATATCAGAATGTTAATATTGTAATTCAAAACACTGTTGCAGAAAACGAGAATCTTATTGAGCGAATAAAGGTAACAATATATAGAAACACAGGTGTATTTCTGATTTTTTTTATCTTTATCAGTTATGCGGTATGCAATGATTAATAACATTAATTCTTTGCCTGCTTGAACTAAAACTGATTCGTCTTTGTCAACTATGTAGAGCATAGCAAACCCGCACATGGTGCATCAAACCTGGCTTTTTACCTCTAAATTTCTCAACTTCTAAATTTTGATATGGAAATCCATTACTTTGTTATGGACCATTCTCAATAATGTAAAGCGGCGTATATAAGCAGGTTAATGGGTTTATGTTTTTAAAAATAAGATAATTTAAAACTGTCCAGGAGCGTTGCTTTAAAGAACTTCATCACTGTGTATTCATCACAATAAAAGTCCTATCTTCTTTTTGCATATTTTGTAACTGTAACAGATTAGTATTTTTTGCATGTCAGTCATGATTACACTGTTTACACCAGAGCTAGAAAAACAGTCTTACACCCCATGTAAGACAAGACGCGTGTTTTAAGTGACGACATTCACATGCGCATGGTATGAATGAATTACGTTCGTAGGATGACGTCATTGTGCCGTTGTAAATGAAGTTGTAAATTAATAGATCTGCGCTACTACATGTACTAAAAGAAAAAATGTTAAATGGAACTATATGTTTTCGTAATTTCTTTTCGAATGTCATTAGTTTGCAATATACAAGAATACGAATCAAACACCGACTGCCGTCACAAACAGGAACATGTCGCTATCGGGTAACTGTTCAGCGGAAACTCGGCAGAGCTTCCTTCCCGCCGTAAACAGTTACCGTCGAGCTATATATTCCGTTCTGTACCAGCAGTCGATGTAATAATCTATTACTTTGAAACTTCAGCAAATTTTCACCAGTGCATCTCGGCAACTATTCGAAGCGTCACGACACCAGGTGTATTTTGGACAAATTAACATTATAATACCCAATACGTGGCGTTTAAAGCCAGAATATATAGAGATACCTGCGCTCTCGGAATTAGACACCTACATCACTGTCGATAACGGAAGCATTAAAACCCCTCACACAAAACGCAAGAGAAAGAAGTGCGGCTCCCCGGGACGCTTTATCTATCTACCAGCAAGCTTCTTGATCGAGGAAGGGAAAACTCAATTTGGATATCACGGTAATCGTTTGATTCCTGTTCTTATTTTTAGTTACACGATTTATAAAAGAATCATTAACCTGAAATATTAATTGTATTATCTTTGTGTGAGTGAAAATCTTATAATGTATTGTATTTCTGATTACACTATAGAGGCACTATCTCAACAATGTGAACATGTCATCGATTCTCTTATAGCTCCGGGTTTTAGTCCTTGGGGAAAGGGGTGGGGTCAAAGTTTCAAATGAGTAAGCCGACTTATTAACGGTGTATGGTCGTACGGTTTATTTAAATCATAATTATTTGGTAGTATATACATGTAAATATAAACAAGAACAAATGTTTAGGAAATAATAGATAGTCCAGGCTCATAAGAGATTGTTTTTTTCACAGTTAACAAATTTCAAATATGATCAATTCAAATTGTTGAAATCGATCAGAATTTAAGTGAGATAGAGCAATTGAATTCAATTTGCAGTCTCGTTTTCTATTTTCTTTCCATTTTCTTGCTAAAGCTCATAAGCTCATCCCGAGGCAGTTTCTTGAAATATTAATTATTCTATTTCATGCAGAGAATGTTGTGGTTCGTGAATGGGGTCATCTACGATGGGGACTATGGGATGAATATGGCAACAAGAAAAATCGTCAATTTTACTTGGAAGATGGTCAATGGAAACCAGTTAGGTATTTATTTATTACTGACTTGTTTAGTTTCATGAAGTGTTTTATTTTCAAAACTTAAATAAAAAATCAACAAAGTTTAGTTTCGTCATTTTATGAAACATTTTTCTTTTAATTGTTGAACAATTTACTTCAAATGTACGTTATCACACATGTCACATTTTGAAAAAAAGCAATCACCAAGTCAGATCTTCGTTCCGTAGTGGACACACTTGGTGACAGAACATTTGATATTTTGAGACAGGATTGGTGTCATTTCCTTTTAATGATTAGCTCAAGTATGTCAAGTAAATATTTGTCCAAATAAAATGTTAGCATCATACGATAAATGCAGCACCTGTTATCAGTCCTATAGTCATTTTGCTGCTTTCTTCCCCTCTGCTCCAGCAAAACTGACTGAGTCACATGTTTAATTTCTTAACATCTAGATGCATAGTAAAAGAACACGTTGTAAATGAAGAAAATGAATAACACTCCAACTTTACTGGTAAAACGGCTTATATATTTAAGTTTAATTATCTTTTACCATAAATGAATATGGCGTTAAATTAATGCAGGTGCAGTACAAGCATTACAGGTAAAGTTGGTACAGGACCAGAGTGTGATCAAGCCACTTCGAAATGCAACATTTATAATACTAGAAAAGTCATTGATGAAACTTGCAGATTCTGCCCTGATGAATCACAACCAGTATCCAATATGAGTTCAATAATGGCATTTAACTGGCTCGATGCTGTATGTTGATGCAATTATTCTTATCATTATATTGAAATTAATTTGGTTAAACAAAACCAAATATAGATATTGAGTGAGATAAATCTTCATTAACTATAGTCTGTTATACGCAGTTTGCTTAACATGAACAAGAAAACAATTTTCGAGTTAACAGGTACTCGCACAAAATCACTGACAGTCTTTGATTTTAAGTACTGGTACCAACTGAAACTTAAAACCGGAAAAGAAGTGATATCTACACAAAATTTCCGCAATATTTCTCATTTTTTTGGCGAATACTTAAAAAGGCTTTAACCTTTAAGTGTTGAACATTGAGTACCGCTCAAACCGGTGCTAGGAGGCATGAGGGATGTTGCACTCTTTCATTATCCCTCATGTAAGTCTCAATTAAACCCAGGCTGCAATTTTCATGTAAATTTGTTGTGATTAATTCTTCCGAGGTATCACATTTTGTCCATATTTATAAATATAAAGTTTAAATATATACGTGCATACAAATTAATGCATTTCTGATAATACTAAGAAATGCACTGTATATTTTCGGTGCTGTAAATCTCAGGTGACAACTTTCTGTGATAATGAGAATGATATAAAGATTCCTGTCCATCAAAGACACAACAGTAAAGGATGGAGTAAACAGAATGTGAATTGTAATAGTCGTAGCTCATGGGAAGTAATGAGGGAACATGATGACTTTAAAACAGGTGAGCTTAGTAAATAAACTTTTAACTAACTACTGAGAATATCTTTTTAAGTATGTCATTTTAATGTACAAGAAATGAGCTATTTTTTATACACCGAAAAAGATACGTCGTGTGTGTGATTAAGTCACTAAATAGCGGTGCAACAAAAGAAAGAATAATTTCATACAGGAATGAAAGTAACTATATTGTAGAGTGGTTTTAAGAATAATGGTGTTTTTAGGTTACAAACAGCACAATTAGGTACAATTGTACTTAAATTGAAAATACAACGTATAAATCCATAATAGACCGTATTTTTACTGTAGAGGTCATGTTCTTATTATTACAAAATCATTAAAATCTTTAAGATTCGTCATTATAAAAAGATAATGCAAACAATACAGCCCAACTCAACACACATAAAAGAACGCCTTTTTGGCAAGTTTTCAAAATATAAGAACAACTTGTATTATGATGTTAAATAAGGTTAGTGACGAGATAAAAATATAGCTATTTTACATAATATTATATCACGCAAACCTAATTTATAGCAAAGTGCATATCATGGAATACTAAATTTAGTTGTGAGATCGAAGCAAGAGACCAAGATAAGATGATAAATGAATTTCAATGAGAAAAACAAAAGAACAATAATATGAAGTGGAATATCAATGCTATGGTCTTGTGGGATTTTCAGCGTTTCAATGATGGAAGAAATTGAGCGCCCCTCCTTGCATTGTCTCGCCTGTGAAGAATGACATAACAAAGCTGGATACTTTTTAAAATGCAAAAGTCCAAAGTTTCTGGTGGGATTCGGACACACACATTTGTGAGCGCTGAATTAGAAAAAAATAAAAGAGCATAGTAGGCCATAAAAATCACAAATGGGGTTGCATAAAAACTAACCATGTTGACCAAACACTCTATAGGATATTAAGGTTATAGGAATAAAATGATCTATATAAGCATAATATGGTTAATCATTAGATTCTATATTAAGACTGACTGATAACCTGTAAAAAGTTTTGTTTAGTACATATCTATAACTATTTGCCTTCTTTTTATTACATTCGTATGTGTCAATTACATTATATTCGCATTCATTTACATCCAAATGAACTTAAGAGATCATTTTTCTCTCCAAATTTAGCAACTACTTTGCCATCATCTACAAACACTGTACCAACCTTTAGACTGCTTCATGAAACTGTGGGATATCGTGTGCTTGTAATAGATGTGTCTGGTAGTATGGTAAGTTTTTTCTGAATTGAATAATTCTATGGTTTATAAATCTGATACATGTGCAATTTTCTTGCATATCTATGTGGGCTAATAAACGTGTTTTCGCTCCGCACCCTGCCATTTTAACCTGTTAATTCTGGGCTTTTCGCTTGGCGGGGTTGTGGGGCGAAAACACAAATAGCACAAATCAGCCACCATAAATGTCAGACATACATCGGCGCTAGGAAAAACTTGTCGTACAAACACCATCAATGTGAAACGCATGTATCAAATGACGTCATTATCCCGCGCATTTTATAAATGAACTACGGCCTCAGGATGACGTCATTTTGCCGTTGCGAATGAAGTTGCACATTGACACGCTACTATAAGAAAAAATGCTAAATGAAATCTATGTATAATATGCAAGTAAAAAATCAAACACTGGCTGTCGTCACAGACGGGAATATCTAGCTCTCGGTTAAGTAGAAACAAGATCAACAAGGAACGGCTCATTCAATGAACGCATCCCGAAATACCGGACCATCAGCAGGACGCCAAACAGGACAGGGTACACTTGATAAAAAAGACCCCAACTCCCCCAAAAAATAAACAACAAACAAACAAAAAACAACAACAACAAACAGACAAAACTTGACGGGATGCAATCGGTATAGCCTTGTTACCGCCGTAAACAGTTACCCTCGAGCTCGATATTCCGATCTTAACCGGCAGCCGGTGAAGGATTCTTATAAAAAGACACGTTCATAAACAGGATTTTTGGGCACGTTTTAGATGCCACTCGCTAAGGTCATTCAATTAAAGTCATATGATTTTATTATTTTAAAACAGGTAACTTAATTTGCCTTAAATAGCCGAGAGAAATCCACAACATTCAAGACATATTTTTAGTATGAATTCTCTTTTTTTAAAAGTATTACAGATGCTATTAAGCGGAAAAATCAATAGAGTAGTCTGACATAAACTTTTGTAGGTTAATTCTAATAATACAAGTTAGAGAATCGCGATTTATTTCTTTTCTTTTTTGGTGCGCTTTTGTGTATGAAAGGGTCAAACATGTATACTATGGGTAGTGCAAATAAGAAATTATATACTTTAAAATATATTTTAATAGTTTTAATTAGGTGATAATGTTATTGAATATCAAAACACATTTATATCATCTTTTAGGCTTTAGTGATGAACAAATTATATCGAGCCAGCGCTTACATAATTCAAACTATGATACCTGAAAATAGCTGGCTAGGCATTGTTTGGTTTGAAAGAATAGCCCATAGGAAGAAAGATTTGACAAAAGTGACCTCACAGCAAGTAAGAGATGATCTTGTATCAGCATTACCACAAAAGGCGGGTGGTGCTACCTGTATTTATTGCGGGATAGACGAAGCTATAGATGTACGATCTTTTTCAGTGTTATTTCTTATGAATATTAAGTAAGAAATCTCACTTAATTTGTGATTGATTAATTATTTAGTTACACCGACACCGTGAAGGTCAACGGACGACCTGTCATTATTGATAAAATGTCCCTGGCGAAATTCGAACACACTGTTGTGAGAAGCAAGTGGTTTGAAGGCATTCATTGCAAAATTTACGCTTAGGAAGCTTAAAATATTTTTTTAGACTGAACAAAAAAAGACAATTGTAATGACGATGCTTAGTTTATGATATAAAGGCAGCCTACAACCCGGGAGGTGGGTTAGGGGAGGAGTTAACATTCTGTTGATGTGTGAACACAGATTTAAATTTTCTTTTATTTTTTTGACTGAGCTGTATTGTTTGACTATATTTATATCTCACAATTGTAGCATTTAAGTCGTAAACTTGGTGATCCATTTGGATCGGAAATCATAGTGATATCGGATGGTCCTGGAAACTCTGAACTGGATGATTCAGTACAAAATGCCATTGACTCAGGTATAATCATACACAGTATTTCCGTAACGAATTATGCGGACAACCGACTATTAACTATGGCGGTTGCAACAGGTGGAAGGCATTTTTCTCTTCTTGGGTTTGGGGTGATAACTTTTGCCTCGGCATTTACTGAGATTTTGTCCATTGCAGCAACGGCAATAGCTTCCGAATCAGTAACAGTAAGTTAAAAATAAATAAATCATTATCAGTTTACAAACGATTTTGAATAATGAATTATTGATATAATTAACAGAAATTGAAACAGTAATTTACAACAAATACATGAAATAGTATATGAAATGTGTTTTTTAATAGAAATAACAAAATTGAAAATCAAAGGCGCGGTTTTTGTATTTTAGTCATTTCAACATTATATAATCTATTCTCAAGGAAGAACAAAAACATATTTGCGACGAGTAGTTGACAAACATACATTTAGTACGCATTTTCCGCTTCAGTAATTTGATTTTTGCAAGCGTATTACTTTGTCAAACAATAACATACCAATCAGTTGAACATGCAAATATAAAATTATATTATTATATATTTTGGTTACGTTTTCAGCTCGTTTCAGGACAATACAATGCATCATCTCATGGAAATGTCCAAACGAATTTTGGTCTAGACACTGGTGTAAAACATAGAACATCTGTAGCCGTGCTGCAAGAAACAACAACGTATCTAAAGGTTGATGTTTATAGTCCCAGTGGACATGTTTATACAGAAGAGGCTTCACGGGACTCTATTACCTTAGACTTACCTGGCACATCGGTTGTAAGAAAATTTTGGTTATTTCAAAAAGAATAGAATTAAACTCAAATATCCTTTTGACACATGTTTACAAAAAGTAACAGCTCATACCGTTTTATTTGTGCTATACATATTTATAGCAAATACTGTATGAAAATCATTGTTATGTAACTCCTCAGTACTTGTGTACCGTTTAATTAAGTGACAATGTTGAGTCAGTACATCTACAGTTTTTTAAATAACCCATCCGACGAATATTTTCTTTTTAAAGTTACTTGTTGCATAGTTTCGATTGTACTAGCCTGAAAGTTGGAAGACCAGATTTACCCTGTTAAAGTACTAGAGTCATTCCAATGGGTACGATATCATCAAATAATATTCGACAAGATATAAATGAATTTGAAATAAGTTGCTAATATTAACCCTTATTCTGTTGAATTTACAACACTGCTACGGATATGCAGTCTGGCCTGGCTCTATACTTGCGACACAAGCTAATTAGTTACTGTAGATTAAATACTATTCGTGGATTACCCATGTGCGTGCGAACACACACTCACGCACACACGCACGCACGCACGCACGCACACACACACACACACACGCACACACGCACACACGCCCACACACACACACACACACACACACACGCAGTTGAAAGAAATGAGCATGTACTGCATCCATATATTGAGAGCTAATGTTGTATAAAAAACACATTATATAGTACTTTATTAAATCTTTTCGACAGACTGGTCAATATAACGTTACAATTGAAACCAACTCCTCTTTTGAGTTACTCGTAACGTCTTTACCAATCGACTCAGAAGTTGTGCGTGTATCTTCTTGGATATCTCCAGTGAATTTCACTTTTTTATCTGGTGCATTACCTGTCATCGAAGCAGATGTGACCAAAGGAAGGTTTGCTGTTCTAAATGCAATAGTAACAGCATCGATTGAAACAAAGCCACAAAACCCTTGTCTTCAAATATCATTACTTGATAATGGAGCAGGTAGGGAACACTTGCCAACAAGAAGCTGCATTATTTTATGCATGTTCTAGAGATGATATGATAAGATGATCGTGAGTAGCATGCATAAAAAGTCATTATATATCATTTTGATGTACATGTACAAAGTTTTCATAACCAAACATTTCGTCAATATCATCAGGAATGCAAGATTATTTCATACGAGGAAGCTAGCCAGCTAGCCCACATAAAGTTGGTAGTTCAGCCCCGGTGCCCGAGCATGCTTGAAATAATGCACAAAAGACCACCTGAAGTCTTCTTCCTTCAGTTTAATTACAATCCTCATATGGCATTTACATTATCAGCGTGACATAAGAAACAAACAAAATTGGAATATCAAAAATATCTCTCAAAATATACTTAAATAGTCAATGAGGTAGTAAAATATTAGATAAAGCCGTCAATTAAGATGAATCTTGCTTGAAAATGAAAATCGCCACATATCTTGCGGATTACCTCAAACAGTCCTGTGTGTTTTTAATTCATTTAATTATGTTTGAGTCATTGTTATTGTTTAGATGAATACTTCCATATCATTGTATTTAGTTTAGATTTATACAAAAGCTTACACATTTGAAGAAACTTAACACCTATTGTGTTTCTTTCTAACACTTTGATGAAGACCCCGATGATACGTCTAACGATGGAGTATATGCAGGTGTTATACCAGCGTTTTGTATCAGCGGAAATGGTCGAGTGAGTGCAAAGGTTATTGTTATAGGAGAGAAGGGTACAACATTTGTGTCCGATGTCTTTAGTGAAGCAAGATTCCAAGATTCAGGTTAACAAAAAGATTGTAATGTGTTGATGATTTTACAGTTGTGGCATGTGTAATTTCTAGGAAAAAGTTTAGAATTTTTTAAGTAAGTGAAATATGTAATATACAATTTTTCAAATGTTTCGACAAATTAACAATCCACGATTATGAATACACCTGTAGTTTAAAAAATTGTAAAAAAATTGTACCGAAAAACAGTAGTGGTTTGGACAATAATTGGACCTCAACAGTATTAAGATCAGACGTACAGCACATATTGCATTACATTAGGACATAAATGGTATTTTCTAATATAGGTTTGGATGAAAATGAAAACAGTATACTTCAAGACAGCTTTCAGCTATCAGTTGTAACCAATGACATTTTAGTCAGTAATTATGTAGCCGGTGATGTTACTGCACCAGGTCGTATTACAGATGTTTCTATCACAGATATATCTACAGAAAATACCCTATATAGCGAGGGTAGAAGTTTTACCATTAATTGGACGTCGACAGGAGATGATGTAAACATCGGACAAGGTTTGTGTGTGTTTGACAGCGTATAAGTTCTAGTTCCGTTTTAACAATTGAGGAGCGTATATCTTTGATAGTATTCTTAAAATATATTACAAGAGCGTAATTATCAACAAATTTGAATTTGTGGAGAATAAACATTCATTTATTTTGCACTTTGGTTTGTTCTTTAAAAAATGTTTTAGAATGTATAAGAAAACCAATTTCTTTTTTATGATTATAGCCATCGAATACGATTTAAGGATATCAAACAACGATAACTTCTTAGAGACTGATTTCACAGATGCAATTCAGCTAAGTATTGCAAGCGCAAACTTCACTCCGAAAGCTGCAGGGATAACTGAATGTATCAAATTAGAAATAGATGCAACCGGGGATTACACGTCATCGGTATACTTTGCTATTAGGGCAAAAGACGAGGCTGGAAACATTGGTAGTGTTTCTAACATCATTTCGATCCTTGTTGCCAATGGTTTTAAGATAGCCGTAGCAGACTGTCTTGATATCACACAGGGAGACGACGAGGTAAAAGAAAAGAAAGAAAATCCCAATTTACTTGTCATTTGTTTGTCATCTGCAGCGGCTGTAATTGTACTAGCCATAGTCATATTAACACTGATCTTAAAGAATGCAAAGGCCAAGGCACGTGTAGAAGGTAAGAATGTTTCCAGTTATTGGCATATAGATTTTAATGTTCATATAAGCATACCAAAATCAAATTAAAAGAAAGAAAATGAATAAACTGAAATATTTTTAAAGCTTTCATATTTCATATTTTTGATCTCAGTTAAAGAAATATTAAAATGATTGATACTGTTTCTGGATTTATGGTTTTTCTCTTTTGCTCAAAAGGATATTATGTATATGCTTATTATTTTCTTAAACATTACTTTGCTTTAAATATGCACACAAAACACAACAGGAACCAAAGTAACTTAACCCACATATACAGCTTTTATTCCTTAGACAAACATCTCCTCAAACAGGGACAAAATCTTTCTTAAAATCGAAAACACTAATAGAGACATTTATGAGTTAAGGTCTTATATAAAAAGTCGGTAACTTGCATTGACCTTCGAGGGTCATGCCTAAATATAAGCAAAAGATATTGTTGAGAAAATGTACTAAACGTGTTGAATAATTTACATGTTATATGCAGTTGATGGCTAATTTTGAACCATTTATTACCTTAGTTTTACTGCGTGATTAACGCAGAAAAAAAGCTATATTTGCATATTCTGACCGTTAATGATTAGTAATTTCCGTGCCGATTGTGTAAATAACATTTTTGTGCTCTTGATAATGTATGAAATTTAATATCTTTTTTAAAAAATCAAGAAAATAAGCATCAACCTGAAGCATTATTACATTTTTTGGCCTTAACTGTCAGTGGCATTGTAAGGTAATTAACTCATTATGACGATTGTAGGGTAAGATTTTGAGTCAGATCTTTGAATTCATAAAATATAGAAAAAGTAGTTTCAGAAAAAATCAAAATAGAGATCAAGGTTATGCACAGGTCAAGATAAAGTTCAGTGTGACCTGCTTATATGTTTTTACTTAAAGGTTGTACTGGCCTATAATGAATACATGACATCGAATAATTACATGTTATTGACAATTTTAGATGTATCAAATAATTTGATCTTACAAGAGAAGGTCATTTAAAGGTCAAGGTCAAACTTGATTTGCTTAACATGACAGTTTTTGCTTAGTGCTATTTTGTTCTAGTAGCAATGAAATGCATCCCGTAAAAGCGTTATTGTAGCCATTTTTAGTTTTTTTTAGAAACAATTAGACCTCCAAGGCAAAGATCATTGAAAGGTTAAATTCTAACATGAGTTGCTCAACATGATCTTTTTATTTTAAATCTTGTTTTAGTTTAGAACGAACCAGATCCATCAATAAGTTATAAACTTAACTTGACCCTACAGGCCAAAGTCATTTTAACGTCTTGTTCAACTACACAGGATTGTTATGAATTCAATACATCGATTTATAACAAAAGTTTATCAAATTATAGTCATCTTACCCAAATTAAAGATAATAATCTTGTAGGTAAAGGTATTTTACGGGTCAACGTCACGTTATTCATCATGACAATTATTCCTGTCATCTTTAAAATAAGTTGAGCGGTTTAGAGAAGGAGTGCACAAATACGATCTGAAAACCTCATACTGACGAATCGCCTCAAACCAGTAAACCCGCGTGTAGGGCATGGTTGTAAAAGGAATGTTTTAATATTTCATATTAAACTCATTATTCGCAAGAAAGTAGGTGATGTAGTGAAATATACATTTCAAGTATGTTTAACCCTTTACAAAAAATGATGATTTTAAAAGTGGCAAACAATTGATATATGAAATATCATAACAATAAAATCATACGAAAAACATTACTTTATCCGGTACATGACAATCTTGTTACTAATTTGATATATTAAAAACATTGATTCTATTAACAGACAGTGAACTTTGCATGAAGGATGTCATACGGCAAACTGTACCAAAGAAAATTTTCGAGTCCTCTCAGCTTCATTTCATACGGCAAACTGTACCAAAGAAAATTTTCGAGTCCTCTCAGCTCCAATTCATACGGCAAACTGTACCAAAGAAAATTTTCGAGTCCTCTCAGCTCAAATCTGGAGACAGAAATTGGACAACAGAAATTAGTGCGGAGATGACCGCGCGCCAAAGTGTGCCAAGGAAAGTTTTCATGTCATCGTTGGTTGAGCCATTTTCAAAAAGGGAGCAACACTGGACTGCATTGTTCTCACCAAAGCCAGTTTCAAAAATCTATCATGAAAAGGGGAAACCGTTTGACATTGTAAGTGAGGGCTCTGGAAGTAATGAATTATATGGAATGGAAAGCTATGTTTTCAATAAATACAGCTTAAACAACGACACAAATCATCTATACGCAGAGTTTTCATCTGAAGGTATAGATAAAACATGCGGCAAAATGCTTACAGAAAAACAAGGAATGTCAGATATTCTACCGGGGGAGGTTAGAACAGAAACGTCAACGATAAGCATATCAGATGAAAGGCATGATTCGTCACAACTTTTATATTCAAAAAGTTTAGATGCTCAAAGCAAAGCTGATAAAGGTACGGATAATCATGAAAATAAATGCGAGTTCTTGTCTATGATAAGCAGCTTAGCAGATGAAGCATCATCAAAGTTTTAAGATGACCGGCAGAAGTTACTTAAAGTATGAATTAAAGTACTTGAGAGTGTTGAAAATTGAATCACTCATGACAAAGAGAGAGCAAAACCGCTGAGATTCAAATCCGAAAGACAAAAAGAATGTTTTGACAAAAGTTTGACAAAGTTTTCAAAATTGAATCCTTTTGCTTTTAATTAATCACCCATATAATTACTATTATTATTGCTTCAACACAATTGTTTCAGTATGTCAACAAATATTGTCGCACGTTTTCATTCATTTTAAAAGACAACAAAAGTCACATATCATAAAAATATTTACTGTAGATATTTTCATAAATAAGAGCTTCTAAGACTATATATCACAATGATTAAAACATGAAATTATTTTTGTTTCATTCGTTTGTTCATCATTGAGTGAATATCATTGTTTTGATGTTGTTGTTGTTTTTGCTGTTATCTATTTAACAATATTGATTAAATCATATCCTAACCATTGCAATGTTTTATGACAATGTCATTTACATCTTTTGTAACTATATGCTTTTCTGATACAAAGTGTTTAAATAAAAGTATTCGGTTTTAAATAATTAAACTTATTTTTCTCTGACTGGTTAATCATGAATATGATTAAACGAAAGTTTTTTCCCAGCACAGCATGCTTGTCATTAACAGAAATATAATTTAAACAATCTTCATATTGTAGAATAAATTATGAAAATACGTTTACATCTACACGACTGTAAAGGTTCTTGCGGTTGTCTATAATTGTTTGTATAATTGGCGAAGCACGTGCATAAACTGACACATTTATCAATTGCAACAGAACCCATGTTACAATATAACAACAATGCATGTTACCTATTTAATAAATTAATTTAAACTTATGAAAATTAAATTTATAATGTCAAAATGCAGAAACACTCAGTAAGAAAATTGTAAATTATTTTGAGATTGGCGATATACTTAGACAGAATCTTAGTCTTTCTTACAAAGGCCGGTCTTTAAATTTTGTAGGATGTTTTTTAGAATATGCATTTGTTTTTTGTTGGATCTTTTAATATGGCGTTCTCAACAAACATTGAAGTCATTGTATACACTTGAGACAAATAGATGCCCTTGTATTTATTTATTTATTAAAGTCTCATCTATATACATGGTACAACATAATGCAACCTAAATACATATCATAAGAACATGTATAAAGCCATTCTATACAGAACTACAGGAGACTACAAATGTATAAAACACATTGATATATATAGCATTTCATAGCAATGACAATTTACATGATAAAACTAAGAAACAGATGCTCTGATCGCATGTAAAAACAAAGGTAAAATAAAACAGTACGACTTTGTAGTTAAAAGAGGAGCACTTATATCATCATAAAAGTAAAAATAATAATAATAAAGTGAAATGATAAGCATCTACTAGAATATTATTAACAAAGATAAGCTTTACGTCTTTTTAGAATATCGAAACATGTTTTGGCACATATTCTAATTAAGGAGGTATTTGTAAAAAGAAACACAAGTTTATCATTATCTGACTTGTTATAAAATTCTGGATCAACGGCCGCCGCCTTATGAAATAAGTTTCGTCTGTAATCATCATAAATTGAGCACTGTAAAATGAGATCCTAATTCAACGTTATTTACACAAAATGGACACGTACGGTTTTGTTCACTTATGTTTTCATATCTTCCAGTTTTCTATTTAATGGGAGCAACACCATAGCGAAATTTACAGAATGCAGATCTATGTAAAGGTGGCACATTCAACGTGCAATAATTCCCAACATTATAATCTTTGTACAATATGTTCTTAGTTTATTTCTTCCTCTACCTGAACTACCTACAGATCTATTGATAAGCTGTTTCCAGTCGCATTCATATTCATTCGTCAAAAAGGATATAGCAATATGAACAATAGCATGTTTTTAAACATTGTAAGAAATGTCATAAAATTGCTGAGTCTACATTCAAACAATGTTGACTTAACACGAAACTACCAAGTTTTACAATTACTGTTTGCTTTACCATGAGCCCATAATGCAAGTATCTTATTCAACCTGGACGAGTTTGTATTACTTAAACGGGCCCAAAACGTAAATATAGATTTCCATTGGCGAACAACTGGTGGTTGCCAGGCAATCTCACCTGCAAGTGCCGCGTAAGGTGTATATTAACCAACACACAGAAAGAACCTCAAGGCTTTATTATGGACGGAGTAACACATGAGAAAGACCGGTCATCCCAAACCGCTGCACCGTAGTTGATCACGGGCCACACAATAGAATCATAAAATTTGGTGTAGACAGCGTATGAAACGCCTCCTAAACATTTGCATTTCGCTATAACAAGTCCCAGTGCACTTCCTGCACTTTGAGCTACATGTTTAGCAGTTATATTAAAGACTAAAGGTTCAGTTAAAATTAGATCTTAATGTTTATATCTATCCACAATTTCAATTACATCGTTGCCACAAGTGAAAATTATAGTTATTGCGACATGTCTAAAATGTACAACTTTGCTTTTTTCACAATTAATGTTCATATCATTCACAGAACACCAGTCATTAAGAGCATTTAACAGACACTGTAAATCATTTGAGTTCTCAGCAAGCAACAAAATGTCGTCAGCATATAATAAGATACATTTTCTTTCACCACCAATATCAATTCTTTCATTGAATGATTTCAAATATGTAATCAAATCATTGATGTATAACTAGAAAGTGACGAAATGCGATCAAGAGTACTACGTTTTCTTCTAAAGTCATTTTATTCGTCATGTAATTTATTGTTATCTTTTGCCCCCTTGTATGTCAGTTAAAAAAATACCATATCTCTTCTATATAATTATTTCCTAGGTCAGAACTGTGGATCGCCAAACAGGGTATTTCTTGATAGTCTTATGTTGTAAAAATATACACGCAAGCAATAGTGCGAAAAAATAAGATGTTAGGAGGTAAACACACCATAAATTTATAAATGGTGAAGTAGGGAGAGTATCATATTGAACGCTGTTAATGTTATTAAAAACTGGCTGAAACTTATTCTGTCAAGTTATACAAAATATTTGAAAATTGTATATGAACTTACTTTTAGTGATCTTGCTTAGTATGTTATGTTTTACAGTATTAAGTTTTCAATAAAATATGGAATGAGTAAAATGAGTATCAAATGCATTGTTTTATACAATATTGGTATGCAAAATGAAATAACACAGCAAGAGCAACAAGATGCTATGCATTCTAAAAATTAAATTTGTCAATAGTAAATATTGAAGCAATTGTCTCATAATGAAAAGAAATCTAAAGGATGATAATCATGCATTTTTAAAATTTCCCGATAAGAACAACTTGTAAAATGAAATGTGGTTTTTTCAATTTATCTAATTGTTTACATGATTAAATGAAAAAGTTCCCAGAAAATTATCAGCGTTAATCTTAAAAAATCATCTTAAAACGATTTGAGTTGAGAAATAATGTTGATTACTTATAGTTTATATTTGGAATATAGACTACAGTGCCTTTAACTTGTGTTTCATTCTTCAATGCTGTAATTTTGTATTTTTAAACTAATAATTTATGGTTCTTTTAAACCAAGCTTGGTTTCCTTCCTGGTGGTCCTTTGTTTGGGGAAGCATTCCTTCAATCCCTTTTGCAAATTTGAATTTTATCATATTTGAAACTACTTCATGAATTCAAATATCATTAACAGCTTATTTATTTTTTTCTAAATTCTTTTTTAAATTCATTATATTCAAGTGTATTTTTTTGAATTGTGAATTATAAACAGTTAAAAGCATTTGATATAAAAAATACGACTTTATCTAAATCTTTTGGATCTAGCTAGACATCTAGGAATAAATAACAATAACCCGCCAATTACAAACTCCAGCCCGGCAACAAAGAAGGTTGTATCATATGAACCAGTGACGTCATAGAGGAAACCTGGCGATATACAAGTTAGATCAAGTTTGATAGTTAAATAATTTAAGATTTCAAAACGGATTAATAGTCGACATGTTATTATCTTTGGCAATACAGATAAAACGAATAAAACATTTTTGTTCGTAAAATGTTTTCTTACTGCTTAAAAATAAAATGGTATGAAAGTGCGTTAATAATATGCACAACTGTTTTTTTTTGTTGTTCTTATTAAAATAATCCATTTAGAAATCTTATACCTCCTACTGGTGAAGCAATCGAGCCTGCTAGTCCACAAGCAAACATCCATAGCCCTAATGATTGAGCTATCAATTCGGTGCCAAAGAGATCAGCCAAAACAACAGGACATAATACCACGTACCCTCCTGAAAATGCAAACATTCTTTTTCCATAATTCCTTTTTTCGTATCTAGAAGATATTACAGCAAATGTTTACATTCTGAAAAAAAATTTATCAAAGATTTATTTTATATTTATAATGAGATTTAGTTTGTTTTCTTTGGATCTACTTAATAGGTAATATCAGTGTTATATGGGTACAGTCGTGGAAAATTAATGAACATTATTTACATTTCATTTTTTTTTTACTTATTATATTTTAATCATAAAAATTTCAAACAAAATATGAAACAAAGTATCCAAAAGTTTACTCATTGGTTAATTACCCGAACCATCTTTTTCATTCTGTTGCTTTTTGGCAATAAGAACAGTTATTTAGTGAATGATTATTTTGAATAGAAGTAAATATATTAATTTGTTTTCATTCTGCTACCTTCATGACAAATTATTTCAAATTAATCACTACTTTCTTTTGGTAAAATGCATCTAATATTCTCTAAAACCATTAATTAAACACTATAAAATTCATGCTAGCCCTTTCTTAAGAAATAAAAAATATATTGATTTCTGGGTCATAATGTGCCTTTTAGACCATTCCCTCATCTATGAGAACTTCTGAACAGAATTTTACATACCAACCAAAAACCCATATATACATGCATACAAGAGCTTTGTTGTAAATGTGGTGAACAATGGTGATACAGCTGTTGATAGCCCAGCCAACAATAACAAGAGCTTAAGCAAAGACAGTCTGTGTATACATTTATTGTCTGCCAACCAGCCGAGGAGAACTCTGCCCAACGTATTTGTTATACCTTTAATTGACATTCAGAAAAGAAAAAAGAATAATTAGTCAAAATGATTTATGATAGAACGATTTTCAAGTCAATTATTTTGATTTTGTGACAAAAAGTTTACAGGCAATAAACTTGTTATGTTTGCAAACGAAATTATCACTGCCTTAGATATACAACAAACATAGGTAAAAGATAAATATGATCTTCAATGAATAAGAACTTTCATCATCTGCTCTCTTTTGTGAGACGTTTTGAAAACCGTCTTTAGTAAATTAAGCATAACTTTTAAATACAAATTATTTAGAATACGAGTAAGTTTGATACACAAACGTTTTACATTGTGCTAGATACTTATTATATTCCCTGACGTAAATTAATAGAAATATGAAGCAATAGATAATCTCAGAAACAGCAATATGTTACTTATGTTACTTATTGCTTATCAATATATAAAAACTTCACATACCTACTGAGGACATAATCCATGACACCTGATGCTTACTTATTCCCTTTTCAACAGACTGATCAGGTAAAAGATTAAACGGAATGGTGTAAGCGAGCTGCACCGTGAAATTACAAAATAGAAACGACCAGAGCATGACACTTGTTAGAAGTTTTCTGTTGAAAACAAGGTGAACGAATGTTTTCATTGTCTTAAAACTTTCTCGTTTGTTGTTGTTTAAACTGTCGATGTTATCAACCGTGGGTGCGTTTTCTTGTGTATTTACATTTAACGTTGTCAGTTCTATATCTTTTTTAGTGTTAACATCCGATAAAAAGAAACAAGAACAACAGGTTCGTTCAGATGTTATATATTCAGTTGACTTATTGCGCATGTTTTTGCCTTTAGCTGGACTAAGAGAACGTCCGTCGACTGTTCGGTTTGGAGGCAACAAGAGTAGTCCTAAAACAACGCATTGCAGAACAAGTCCTCCCTGAAGTAGAATCGTTCCTCTGAGACCGTACTGATCGAGAAAGTATCGAGTCAAATGATTCATCACAAAAGTTCCAAGCCCTTCGTAAAAGAAAGAAAAATAGTTGTGTTATGATTTTCTTGAACAGTTTATTTCAATTTATTAAGACAGACAGATGTATGGGTAAATTTGAAATTAAGGTTTTGTGTTTCTATTGCTGGGGTAAGGACATATTAATTAACAGGGTCAAATAGGTGTAATTGGGAAAAAAACGTGAAGAGACCTGTTCTATTCATTCAAACGATGATATTGAAAGAAAACTATGTAACTATATATCAAAATAAGCTTCGTTTCTGTCTGTTATTTGTGTCGAGAACTCGGCCACAGTTTACTTTGTTTTTCTCACGTATTTATGGTTATTACATATGTATAAATAACATTTGAACAATTCTACATTTTTACTATCAACTTCAATGCATACATGCATGTACTATTTATTGCAGGGAAGTACTTTTATCTGCTATAACTGGAACAGCATGGAATATTGCTCTTAGTTTATACCAGCTGTTATATAAAATAAAGTGATTAAAACTAATATAAACTAATTAATACTAGTCTAGTAAAAATAAACACTTTGCTTTCTAAATAAGATTTTTTAAGTCACAATGAAATTGTTAAATATGCCATGCCGACGATTTTTCAGCTTTATTGATGAATTACTTATGAAGGAAAACAGCGTCAGTCCCTTTATATCACGATTAAGGCATACATGGCCACCTGAGTTAAATTACCGACTTTCTTAACAAGCTTTGTATGTCCTCACATGAAAGAAGTCACTGGCGGGATTTGAATTCACAGCTGTGATGTGCTAAAAATTTTAAGTAAGCGGACTTAACCATGCATTTAGCCATGTAAGTCACTGTTCACCTTTTAAATATATATTAAGAATATTATGTGTTACCTGAACCACAACAAGCTATGCCATTGGCTAAAGAGCGATGTTTGTTGAAATGTTGTATCAAACATACGTATGCCGGAAGTAAAATTAATCCAAGGCCTAAACCTAAAATGGATTAAATAAAAAAAATTAACATTTACCGCAAAGTCTAGTATTATAAACAATATCATTATGAATATGGTTGACTTGGCATTAAAGGCACACTTAGCCACAGAAATGATTACACTTTAAAAGTTGCTCATTGGAGGTTTAATGGGCCTTTAATTAATCATCATATGATGACATTAATTTGTACCTCACTTGAACACTCGAGTTGATCAAATTTTAATGTAGTCTTTCATCACTTAATAGAAAGTTTTCATATCATTTACACTTTTGTGAACTTAACATTTGTCTATTATGGCTCATCGATACCGAATAAAAATAAGAAATAAAAATTGCACATTGGAGGTTTAATGGGCCTTTAATTTCTCATCATATGATAACATTAATTTTGTAATTTTGTATCTCACTTGAACTCTCGAGTTGATCAAATTTTAATGTACTCTTTCATCTCTTTATAGAAAGTTTTCCAATGATTTACACTTTTGTAAACTTATATTTAGCATAAGAGTATTATCGTATATGCACTGAGCGCATTCAACTGTAATATTTGTGATGTAATTTATTTGAGTTGAAATGGTTGTAAATATTTCTTCGTTAAGATAAATTTATGATATAAAATCCTATTTCAAATATCAAGATTCAAACAAATTGCACTTTATCTGTAAGATCAGTTCAATCAATTTAACCCCGACTTCAATATATAATTTTCCTTGCCAAAGACAGTTTGATATAAAATATTCGCTTAAGATTAAGAGCAAAATGAAAAGAAATAAGGATTTAAATGACGATACAGTTAAGTACTATACATGGATCGATTGAGGATAAAAAACGAGTTGCTCCTCACGTATGTCATATTGGCAAACAAACATTTGTTTGCAACTTGATTTATTGAAGTTTGGTATAGATGTACTCCATTTCATCTATTGCACGCTTGTCATAATTTTCTTAAACATCGTATCGCATATCAATAACTTACTACCAAGAAAGCTATATGTTATAGAAGTTTGGTATTGATGTAATCCATTTCATAGTTTGCATGTTTGTCATAATTTTCTTAAACATCGTATCGCATATCAAAAACTTACCACCAAGAAAGCCGTATGTTATAGACAGATATAGCACACTTGTTGCAAAAGAACTAATTACAAATGCCACACAGCTATTTATTGCACCAATGATGACGATTAACCGACATCCGTACAGTTTTGATAGTGCTCCTGCCACAGGTCCTGAAATTTTATTCAATTTTAAACTAATAATTTTTATTAATTCATGATGAGAACAGAAACATTTATGGTTAGATGTCAACCATAGGCTTCAACAGACGGCAGGGTTTAGAAGTACAACACCAATTAATAGATAAATTAAAAGCAACTCTTAATGTGTAAAGGCTACTATTTCTTTAATTCGTAGTACATTTTCAAGATGTGAAACGTTCTCTATTTTGTAATTCTTGTTGTACAAACACTCCACGATGACAGAACAATGCAGTGAAGTAGAGTAAAGAGGATGTTACAACTTTTATAAGAAGCCTGATATGCTGGGATGTTTGAATCATAATTTAAGAAAGAATTATAGAAAATTATGTAAGAAATGAAGGGAATTTGCTTGCCGGGATCATTTCTAATAAAAACTTTCTGACAACTATTCTATTTATTCACTTAGTGTATGCTGGTCCATTTATGTCTACGTCCGAATCTATGTTTTCCTTAATTTCTTAAAACCAACATATACAGATGTATAACAATTACAAAAATTACAATTTTAAAAAAATTTTTTAGAAGGGATTCGTGATCATATGATATCAAGTTACATTGAAATGCAAGTATTATACTATCTTGAAAATTGTACATCTTAACTTTAATTAGTGCCCTACCAGGCCTTTTGTGATCCCTATTATTGTAATTGGAAAAGGAAATGTAATAATTTGAAAAGGAACTTTTTCATGTGAAATGTCACAATGCAAACTGCGAAACTGCAAAATAAATAAAAAAATGGCAAACAAAAAAGACTAGCCCCTTTAATACACACATATTTTCTGATATCTTCCTCCAACGAACAAAAAAGTTTAATATCTCATCAGTTGTAAAATCAGTTGTATTAATAGCACAAAAATGAATGTTTGATTTTTAAAAAGCTATCGGCTATTGTTTGGAATTATTTAAAGAAAGACAATTTTAAAAATCATGGGACTGTTTCATTTCCCGCACTCATGTTTGGATATTTACAAATGGCAAATTGGTATTAAAAGTACTTGAACTGACATTGCAATTTAAATTTTCAAAGACAATTTGTATATCTCCTGCAGAATAACATAAATTAAATGAAAATCTAAATGAAATGTAATAAGAATATATCTGCTTTACAAACAATAATGTATACCACGTGTTCCGTTGTCCATTTATAATATATTGGAATTTTGTTTGTGAAAGAAACTTAAACAGTTGTATATTTAATCAAAACATGTTCAATGTCACTGTTTATTTGCAAAACATGCAATAAGATATTTTGTTTATCCTCTCTCTATGCATGTCTTTAATAACTACCTTATTATTCATTTGTTAAAATATCTCTTAACCGTGTGTATTAATAAAATATCTAATATTCTTCCTTGATTTTTCATGACATAATTGAGCTTTTCGTTGACCTTAAAATTACACCATGTAAAAACAAAATTCACTTAATCACATTATGTTTCATAATGATAATAGATTCCCATGAATGTTCGAATGTACACTAACATTCATATACGCTCAAAACACTATACACAACCATGATGGGCACCTAAGATGTTAATTATAAAGCATGTCACGAATTATCACCGTAATTGAAATCTTACAAAATATATAGTACAATGTATGTGTTTTTGTAAACATGATTTATCTTCAGGAGGAACAAATCTGTATGGCTTTATACAAGAATACAACATGGCTGTTTAATACCATTAAATTATAGGTTTAATTGATTTTATTTATTCATATTACCAATGAGATACATAAATCCAAACATAATCGACCCTATAGCGACCGTTGAACTTCTCTCCTGTTGGAAATACTCCAGTAATTCCACGAACAATATTCCAAAAGAATAAAACAAACCATCTACAATCAAGGAGATGAAAAATGTTGCCATGACAACTACCCAGCCATATCTACTTTCTTTGTCAATCTTATTTTCTCTACCATTACCTTCTTTTAAAAGGGAATCCATAATTAAACCCTTTTAATTTATGTTACACTTTTAAAGATATTCTATTCCACCATTTTAGTATTTGTCACAATAAAGTATAATTATACATTTTCCTGATTACCCTTTTTTTTGTTGAAAATTTGATAATGCTTGAAAAGTTTTCCTCCTTTATTTTACTTTTGTTTTACACAATGAACACTAACATTCACTGATATCATTTTGGTTTGTATGTTTCAATCGTTTGAAGTGAAAATGTTAACTTTTATGCTTCGCAATAGATAACACTTTTTACATTAACTATTTATGCGCGGTATATTGCGTAATATATTAAGGTTGTAAGGTTTCAAATACATTTTAAAACGTTAAATAGAACTTCCTATAAATCTACATTTAAGTTAACCGAAACATGTTTATTCGTATTATGTGCAAGTTTTAACTTTAATGATACTTCTAGGATCTATTAGGTATGGATAATTATTCATTCATTCATTTATTTAATTAATTAATTAATAACTTATTTTTTAAGGATATGATGGAATAAAAAAACAAGCATGTTAAGGAATGAATTTATTTATTTACGCAAAAAGGCGTTGTAGAGGCCTAAAATTTCTATAATGATATTCTCTTAAACATGTTGTTTCTCTTATCATATTTCGATAGTCAAGCAGTTACATAATTACACAACATGCCTCTATGACTGGGCACAATAAGCTTTCGTTATCATTTAGCTTTTTTGATAAATCAGGTCTTCTTCATAAGTCTGGGGCAGCTTTCGTTACATAAAAGCGTTACATAAAAGCGGAAACCAGGAAAGTAAGTATTATAACATGCAGGTGTGCATTCATTACAAATATACCGACATGCTTTTGTTCATTTTTCCTGTTCAATATTTCATATCACATTTCTTTTACTACACAATTAAAATAATTACTACAAGTAAATATAATGTACGCAGTTGTATGCATTTTATTTTAAATTTAACTCGTCCGCTTATCGGTTGTACACCTCTAAATATGTTTTCTTTAAGTTTACTGTGTTTTAACGCTGCGTAAACTGCAATCCAAATATAAAAAAAAAACACACATCGAAATAATTTTAGAAACAGAAATTTAATTAATTATTACTCGAATATTATTTGATGGTGAATTTCCCAGCAATAAATTTTTACGAGACAGTTATTAAATAATTGCATAAGATAATTGAATATAAATGAATACAAAAATAAAATGGTTTAGAGTGTAATTATCACAATTTCAGTTTTGGAGAGAGTTTTTAAGAAAAGCTTTACCATGATCACATTCACAGCATACATTCATATCTATTTTTATACATTCTAATTGAAAACAAATTTATCCCCCCTCCCTTTTTAAACCGTGTTTGGGAAACCCAAGATTTACAAGTTCCAAAAGGGTTTTCCGCAGTTTCGTGCCCAACTTTTGGAGGGGGTACAATTTTGAAATAAAAAAAAACCCAAGAAAAAAGGGTAACCCCAGGGAAAGCAAAAATCACAAAAAAATTACATGGATATTGCCGACAGTCGACTCGGTTTGATTAAGTAAGTAGAAAAGGGATAATTGAGAAATGCCACACCCTCACACCCCCTAGCACCGGCTTGAGTACTCAATTTTCAAAACTTAAAAGTGCTAGAATCAATGAGTCCAAAGGACCAGAAAAATAACAACAAAACACAATAAAGTGAGGGATAAGGGAAAAATTGTATTTTACATGTGCATGGTAATGTTGTTGTTGTTCTTTTTGTTTTTTATACATAGATAGTTTTGTCCAGAAAAAGGGAAAACTATAATTTACCAAAATGTTTTTTCTTACCATACAAATATATAGCTTTCCCGTTTTTGAGCCAAAACTGTCCATAATGTCATGTCACAATAATTGTTACCATACACTTATGCTTTGAAACTTTTCCCTTAGCCTCCACTTTATTTGGCCATATTTGATAAAGAAATAAAGGAGTAACGTTAGTTTAAAGATTTGAAATGAGCGGTTTATTAACTGTTTCTTCATGCCATATTACCAAAAAAAAAATGACATGAAGGTCACGTGGTATGGTACGCTGTTATTGTTTCAGCAAGAAGGTTATTGATATTCAAAAGGGTTCAAAAAAAAGGTTTAAGACCGAAAGGTTATGACATAGAAAGTAAGATAAAACCTAAATCCTTTTTTAAAACTTCAGAATTAAATCAAGACAACATTTTACCCCCGCATTAAAACATTCCTTAATAGTCAATGGAATGAATCGTATGTTAATTAACGAAATAAATGCAATACGATCGATTGAGGTTCTTGGTAATAACCTGTAAGTTTAACGAACCTACAGATAAGGTCCACAAAGTAATTACAGTCCAGATGACAATTTTGGAAACAAATTTGTATTTTCATACGAAACTGCATATCTTTGCCTCTTTAAACATTTGTTTCCTTGTTTGTAATGTGTTTATTTACAACTTTATTTGTAGAGACATTTAAATTAAAAAGGTGAATTAAAGATTAATTTAAATGCTTCCTTAAATGACATATGACATAATTCTGCTCTTTTTACCGGTGGTAAACATTTTCATTCATGATTCCATTAGGTAAAAAAAGATAAGTCAAAAGTTTTAATCAATTGCTTAACTGGTCGCACATATCGGATGTAATGACGTAGTGTGACTTTTAAAACATCTCTTGGTAGAAAACGAAAAGTTATATCAAATATTTAAATAAATGCTGTAATGTATTTATAATTTGATAGGTCAATAAAATCAAAAATAAGGCAAATCCATTGCCCATTTAAAACAATCTGAAATAATTGAGGAAAATAAAGACGCCTTTCACGGACGAATGGGTTAATAAAAACTGATTTTTTAGGCTATTGAAATGCCTTTACTTATCACTTCCCTGTCTAATGCGTGGGGCATAGGTACGGCTCACAATTTTATGCTATAAATATCAATTTCATTCATATAATTTGAAAACAACAACTATCATAACTAAGATGTACATAAAATGCATTTGCAATTTTACAAAAATCTTTAGAATTTTTCTCTTCTTTTTTTAATGTATTCATATCTTAACGAAAATGTAATTTAATTGATAATTTCAAAATGATTTATTTCCTCCTTCTAATTTACAAATTGTCAGCCTGGCTGCATTTGCTTTAAATTTGCTCAATAAAAATATTTGCTTTATTTTTTCCATAAGAATTAGTGCTAACTGGTGAGATATAAATAGTTTTAACATTGCTTTGTTTTCTTTGCTTAATTTTTGGCCCAGTTCTGGTTTGTAGTTTATCTAATGAATGTTTTAATAAATGTTTAAAAGTTTGGTTCATTTGTAATTTTACTCTTATTTAATTAAATATATAAAACATGCACCACTAAGTTAAACATGGCTCTTTGGTCAGAATTAGATTTGAAGATTTTTTTAATTGTTTGGTATTTTAAAGTATACTTGTAAATGTGTCAAATATCTATTTCTCAAATAAAAGAAAGAAAAAATTTAAAAAGCAGTCGAAACTGAAATTAACAAAGGAAACAATTATTTTGATGACATTTTATTACAATCAACGAAACATTCCAGAGAATGCAAATTTATAAACATGAAACATATTTGTTTTTTATAACATAATTGTCTTTTTTATATGATATAGGACATTGGGGTTTGTCATCACAAAAACAATACAAACCAAAACAAGCGGACAAATTTTATTTTTTTTTGAATAACATTATTAGAAAATACACACCGACAGCATCTGCTAGTAAATATTGACATGCAAGAACCGACAATAATCATTCCCCATATCTATATTATATTGAATTTATTTTTTTAGTTTTACAATACCAGACATCGAAAAAGACGTCACCTTTGCAAAAGGCAAAATTTATACTTGGCTCCCTTTTTTCATAAATTCTGCCAAAAATAAGGTAAATTAGAAATCACATGGTCAATCTAAAAATTGGGCAAAATTGGGAAATTGTTTAGAAATTCAATTTTTTTTCTTTTTTTAAAGCATTTTATTTCTTGATTTTTAACCGAACCCCCTAAGGGGCCCCGGGAATTTCCGTTTATTTCTACCATATCAGGGACGGAATAAATAAAGTTTACTTTTACTATCGAGTAAAAAATATTTTTTCCCTCAAAAACATGTATTGCTATTGAAAATGTAATCAAAAGGTGGATGGGAAAATGGCATAAAAATATAATTATTAATGTGGGCATTTTGTATTTGTTTGTTACCTGTTATATAATGCAACAAATGAAAGACTTAACATGTATTTTAAACAGAAACAAACAAAACATACATAAGAAACAAACATAATAATAATGATAATAATAATTCAATATACTCTTCTAAAGAGCACAATTAAGAAAACATAACAAAAACAAAAATAATAATGCGATTTCCTTCATGGTTTCAATTTGTGTTTGAACATGAAATTGAATAAAAAAAAAAATTGGGTCATACTATATGACTACCAAAACTTAATATCTATTTCATACTGATAAAATTGAATTAAACGTTTAGATTTTTAGATTTGGATTTAAAATAATTCATTTCACTTTTTTGTTTCGAGTGACACATGTAGAGCAAAGAAACAATAGTCCAGCAATCAGGACTCTGCACCAGCAATAACAAATGTGATGTCATAATTCTTGGTGGTATCATATATCAAACCTGAAATAAAAATAATTCTATTTATAAAATGTATTACGGTAATGTAAATGTGATATGTTGAACTTTAAATTGTAATTAAGGATGTAACAACATTTAAGTGAAATTTTATATATGTATATAATTATTCTTCTTAAAACAATTTTCAAACATCCAAATTTATGTTAAATATGTTACTGCAAATGTTTATTTGCATTATAAGTAATCATATAAACATACGCATTCAATTCTTATTGAAATATTTAGCTCAGACTTCATCGAAAATACATTTCTAATTACCTCCCTTTATTTACATGAAATGTAAATAAGGTATATATATTTACATATAATGCTTATTTTGGAACTTGAAAGATATCTGCATGGTAAAAACCCTACCAAATATGTATATTTCATGTTATATAATTTGAATGATCGGAAAACAAATTCTGTATTCGAGAACGGTACCAGATCTATACAATTTGTCATCAACTGGTTTGAAATATGAGCTATGAACAAAATATTTACATGGGCATACTGAAAATGAATATCATTTACTGCTACAGTAGCCCATATATATAATCATATCTGTTCATCATAAATTCCCTTGCATTTTGTAAATATCTCCTCTGTTAACAAATGCAATAGGCTATGAAATAGTGAAAACCTTGCTATGTATATGTATCAATGTTTTCAAAAGTTATGCATAAAAAGATCCTTGGCAATATAAATGTTTTACGTAATAAAAAATGTACAACTGTATAACTACGATAAATGTATAACCTACATGTATTCATATTATATGTTGTATGAAATGTGTATGTGCCCTGGCCTTTTTTTAACAATGGGAAAGTTAAAAAAATGGAAACTTATCATTTTTTCAATTTTCATTCATATTTCATAAAACCACATCAAAACAATTTTTTTAAATAAGTCTTGGGTCCCGTATTTAATAAATTTTTTTAAAAATTTTAAATATCTTTTATTAAAACTTTTAAAAAAATGAAATAATTCCCATAGGGGATTTAAAAAAGGGCCCCGCAAAACCACAACAAACAGCCACATTCCAAATGGGTTGAGCGATCCCTTTCTGTTCCCAAAAAAGGGCAGCAAGAAAAAACTTGGGGATAAAGGGTTTCGGGATCCACCTTGCAAAATGAAGCCTTTTTTTTGGGAATTAAAATTTGGGGTTTCACATATTGGGCCGAACCCGGGCCTTAGCTTTTGGTCATTAAAGTAATGAGAGGGGATTAAAAGTTTTAAGGGGTAAAATCACAGAAAACGTTTTGTTAAATAAACAGTGTATTAAACAATCAAGATAAGAGATTATGGAAGCTTCTTAAACACAGCATGTACGAGAAAATTTTTAAAAAAATACCAGGCAAAGTCGTTTCTAAACTTAAATTCAAACTGCAAGACATCTTACAATTGATACAAGATTATTAAAGTATGAGATAAATGCTTCTGTAACAAATAAGATATTTATTTTTCAAGGTATAAGAATGTAGTTGTTGAGTACTTAAACAAGAAGAAAAAATAAAAGTCTTTTGAAGGCACAGTTCGGCTTACAAATCAAAATGAAGTGTACTTGTTAGAAACCTGATGATCATTTGTGAGGATAGAAATATCAAACTCCTAAAACAAATTATCGCTGAACTTCCCGTCGAAAAAATGAATGCATTGTCCGTATTTAAAGAAATAAATGCTTAAATTTCTTTACCTATCATCATTTTCCCCGGGAAAGACATGGGTAAAAATCAGTTTTTGGGTTTCCAAAATGTGTCAAAAAGGTGACAACCCTGTTTCGATCCCCGGGTAAAAAAATAACGATGTTAACAAAAAACCATCCCGGTTTTAAAACAAAATTTGTGCTAACCATCCCCCGTATAAAACGGCTTATCGGGATTGGAAATGGGGAAAAAAAAACCCTTAGTTTTTTACTTTTTTTTATATATGTAAAGAAACTTGACATTAAACATGGATGGGTTCATAAAAATTATTATTCAATATAAATACTAAAAGGGTTTAAAAACCCTCTTTTAATTTAGGCGTTTGTAAAAAGAGTCTTACGCATTGGGAAATGATGGGTTGGATTTGTGATTCACAAAGAGGGGAAAATTTTAATTTAAAGTAAATCACAAGCACAAAGTTATTTTTATGTATCATTTCTAATATTATATTTTGTATTTTTTGTTTTGCTTTTGTATTTTTTGTTTTGTTTTTAAATAAAATTCCTTCCGGTATTTATTTCAAAATGTATTGAAAGGAATGTAAAGCGATTGAACGAAGTGACACCGTAATTAACTTTTTATCTGACGCCACGTTTGGGGTGTCTTTTGTATGGTTGGATTTTACGTCGCACAGACACAGTATGGGTCATATGGCGACTTTCCATTTTTGCTGGTGAAGGAAGACCTCGGGTGACATCCGTGCATTATATCAAGCAAGAATTGGCACCTGAGTAGAACCATCGGCGTTCCGTTGTGATGTCTAAGATAACTTTATGTACTTTAAGCCTTTGTTTGAATGATTTGCTAACGTACCTATTGAGGAAATCAACCAGGAAGCTTCATGTTTCGTCATACCATTTTCTACAGCTTGATCTGGTAAAAAGTTGAATGGAATCGTAAAAGCAAGATGTACCGCAAAATTTGCGAGTAAAAATAATAAGAATCCTCCGTGTGTTAATAATTTTCCTACTGAAAATACGAGCAAGAACTTTTTTCACACTGTTCACTTTTTTTATCAAAAAACAATTTTGTCTACTTGTTTTCATAGCTAGATAGTTGTACACTTGTATCTAGTGTATCATTGATATAAAACACTTTCAATTCTGTATCTTCGGATCGCCGTCTCTTGTTATTTGATTGTTTTTCCCTCAACAACAAATATCTTCGGTGTATCACAAAGCATCGGGTCGACAACTTTCATTTTCGGTAGTGGTGGTAAAAGCAGAAGTCCCAGTGCGGTGCCTTGTAGTGAAATTCCTGCGAACAACAAAACAGTTCCTCTCCACCCATAGTGATCAAGCAAAAATCTAGAAAGGTGATTCATTACAAACATTCCAACACCTGTAATAAAAAAAACTGAAAACAATAAGATTTTGACAATGATTGATTAGAAATAGGCTTGATTAATTATTAATTTTATACTCAAACAATTGTATGAATATGTTTCATAGTAAAGGTAAATATTTCATGTAAGCTACATACTGAAAACCTTGAGATTGCGCTTTACACATACATATTACATTATAAAAATACAAGTTAAATGTTGATGCTGCACATCAAAGACGCCGCCAAATGATGGGACAGTCACAGGTAAAGTACAAAATCAAAATTGAAAATCATTCTCTATTACAGTTGAATATCCGAAGCACTAACCAATTTTTCTCCATGTTTTTGGTATGTGTCTGAAATTCTGATATGTTTGTCTATTGCGACAAAGATTGAAACGTCTGGTCGGAGCTAAATAAATTGGATAACAAGTAAAATTGAAATGATTGGTAAACTTAAAATAAATTCAAGACAGTATGTGCCGAGAATTCGCCTAGAATCTAGGAATAGGACCACTAAATATAGTAAATAAACTTGGCAAAAGAGAACAAACGTCAGTCACAAATCATTCAAAATAACCTATTGCAAATATTTGTGATACATTTTAAAATAAACGTATTTCAGTCAGATAATCTGTTTTATAACTTAAATGTTAACTATTTTCATGAATAACATGGCGCACACGTTTTGTCTGTTTTGCAAAAAATATTTCCAATGCATCCTTAGCGCCAGAAAATCTCCATTGCGTATTTTAGTGATACCTCTTGTTCCCTCCCGTCATTAGACTATAGACGGGACTGTGTTGAGCTAAGGGGTGGGGGTAGACCGCCCCTCTGATAGTGGTACTTGTAATTTAATGATTCGTCAAGTTATATTGATCATAGTTGTTCTGGTTCCCTCTCCCCCCATCAACGAAGACTAAATGCTAGCATACGAGCATCATATTTAATTTGGCGACAATTTAAGGCGGAGCCGAACTTCAACAGAGGCGGAGCAAATGAAATGAGTGACACTGCCTCAGTCGTTGCCTCAATCAACCGTTAAGTTTTAGAACGATCGACTATAGACTGGCTCATTAGGCACATTATTTATTACTTACATAAAATTAGATAATTATAAAAAGAATATGCTATTCAAACATGGCACTATCACTTCAGTTAAACGTTTATTTTAATCCATTAAAGCTATGTGACATGTTGTGCACCAGAAAAGCTATTTTTATTAGAAAATTTGAAAACAATGTGATTTTGTTAAAACAAAACAAAACGCACAACATCAAGTCTAAAAGTTTCCCCATTGCTATATTGACAAATGCATATCTACTAGACGGCGCGTACACGCGGCGTCTAATAAATACGATATTAACACTACAATTATAAAACAAATATATACTGCGAATTTCACATGCTTGTTTATAAAAAGCAATTATTATTTTTTATTACATGCTTTTCGGTGGTTTATAGAAATATATCAGTGATATAAAACTGGTAATTTCACTGTTTGAAACAGTGAAATTACCACTTTGATAATTTCACTGTTTTGAATTTAAGCCCCTTACGTTGTTTCAGTGAAATACCAGCGTGCACAGAACTGGGTACCAACTTAATGACGTGACGTCGTAAATGACGTCACGTTGTATTATTATTTGGCGCGTTTTTCATTCAGTATTAGGTTTAATGTATTTTTAAACCGTTTCTTTGCATATAATAAAAAGAAAATTTGTTTACTTTAGTGTAAGATCGAAATATATTTCACCTTGTGAACACCAAAAGTTCATATTTCACTCGTGGCTGCGCCACTCGTGAAATATACCTTTTGGTGCTCACTCGGTGAAATATATTCCGATCTTACACTGAACTAAACAAATATCCTCTATATAACAATTGTAGAGCAAACTGTTTATTTGTTGTGGATGTGTATGTATTTTGTTTGGTGTGTTCTCTTTCTGTCCTATCAAAATACATATCTTCCTATCAGAGCGGATTGAAATAAAATACTTTCAATAACTATCAGCTTAAATTTATGCAATTGTGAATAAATATAGATATATATTTTATTTAACATTTAATGTGTTGTTTTGATTTTTAAATTTTTATTTATCAAATAAACAGAGGAAAATAAGTTTGAAATGGCAATGTTACATTAATTATGTCACAACTTATAAAATGTAACCAATTAACTTGCATCACGTGATGTTCCGATAGAAATCATTATCAGGATCAATCATATCAATAAAGCCTCGTCCCCCCCCCCGAGTTCAAATAATCCATATCAATTCCATATTATTCTCAGTCTAGCCTAATTTTTATTTTTCGAGTCCAACATATTTATGTCAAATCTTAATTGTACTTGAAGTAAAAAAAAAGTGTCAAAATTCTGTCAAAAATGAAAAACATTGTTAAATATTCTATTGGACTCCGGCATACAGCTGCAAAACATATATAGGACTATAGGTTTTACGGTTGTCCAAAATAATTCAGTATTGTAGTCAGTGTATTATAACCTTGTCATGTGATATTTGATGCAAGCATGGTCGATCTTATATGTTACCTCTCTCACTATTTGTTTTCTATTTTACCTTTACTTCTAATTCATTGTTATACATTGTTATATATGTTTCATAACAGTTTACTCCAATTACTGTCATTAAATATTTTACTCCTCAAATTAATATTTTCTAATAAATTTTACCTGAACCACATACGGCAATGCCATTGGCAAGAGCACGACGTTCCGTGAAGTGTTGAATGACGCATACACCTGCTGGTAAGAACATGATTCCGAAACCAATGCCTTAAAAGATGTAAAGAAAAACCTTACTGCAGCTAACAAATGTTATGTACATGTAAACGTTTTTAAAACAGAATCTCTATCATTAATTTGATATAAAATTAAACTTTTATGAACATCATATTTATATTTCCTGTAGAATAAAAAAGGTGTATCTATTGATATTGACTCTAGAAAAATAACGTTTAGGACTAAACAGGTTGTATCTAATGTTTTCAAGCTACCTCGTACACCAAATCAAAAAGCCCTTAAGTATTTAATACAAGTATAAATGCTAGTAGACAAACATTTCATTGGAGTAAACATATCTTAACAAAATTGAAAGATAAAGAAATCCGAACTTATGGGAACAGGAGTTTGGCTTTCCTGTTCATAAATTTGCTATATTTTAAGCAAGTAGTTTCATATTTATTTCTAAATAAATGGTATTGTATAATAAACGAAACACAAAAATGTAAAAAAGTATAGATTGTAATAAGAAAAATTTAATCTTAAATCATATTCATAAATTACACTGTACACTAAGTAGCTGTTTCTGATGTTTTATAATCAACGATCATCAAATCGGAATGTCCCAAATAACGCTTGATTTAGTTATTTTCTTTGTTTAATGGTTGTGGATCAATCAGCCACACTAATATCAACAATAAATGCATGTTTCTTCTAGGATTTATTAATTAATTAAATTGATTTTTATCTTTTTTAAAGTTTATAGGTTTGTATATATTACAACAACGCTGACGTTGAAAATTCTGACATCAAGAATGAAATACCTGATCCCGTTTAGTAGTTATATTCATTTTCAGAATAAACAATGGAATAATAAAAATTTAAGCATATGCTGCTGGAATAATGTATTTTACCTTAGAATGAATAATGAAGCCATTACCTGAATTAGATAAAAGTTTTACATATCCGTCCGGACACATGGTACTGTAGGGAGAACAATTTAAGAAATTTTGACCCCCCCCCCCCCTTAGCAGAGGCCTCAAGGAGTGTCTACAATATCGAAAATAAACAAACTAGCTCTTCCATTTGAAGAACAACATAGCTTTACTGTGTTTAAACTTCCAAGTATTTACCTTTTAAAATCTATATGGAAAAATATTCAAAACACTGTTCGCTTGATGGTCCCCGTCCAGTACATGGTCAGGCAGTTTCTATATATTTTTTTACATAATAAATTAATGGCAAGAGAAAACTTCGAGCTCAGGTTTTAATTCAATATTGTGTAACTATCTCTCATTACCCCCAAGTAGACCATACGAGAAGTAAAGATACATGACGCTCGTGGCAAAAAAGCTGATGACGAAACCAACGCTACTGATAACAGCTCCACAGAACACGATGATACGACAACCATATATGTCAGACAAGGCTCCGGCTAATGGTCCTACAAATGGAACAAAAAGAAGGTCTATTAAATTTATATTATCAAGTATCACATAACAAAGAGTGTAGTTAGTATTTATAAATTCTAGTAAGATTAGATATCAATAATATACATGTATATGATATTGATATTTGGGATCATTTACGAATTAAAACAAAATAAAACGAAACAAAATAACGAAACAAACAAAGACGTTTATGGTACTGTTAACTCAAAGATGTAAACGATTTAATGAATGTAAAGCCATGAAATAGATATGTATCCATATAATATTTTTTTTATTTTTTAAATTCATGAGTTGTATATCTTATTGTTTGTTTGTTACTACTTTTCTCTGTCATTCTCGCGGAAATTCATTTGACATTCTTCTGCAAAGAGCATTTAGTGTGAAATGTTCAATATCTGTTTAAATATACAAAATTACATATTTAAAAAAATGATTTTTATAGATAGCTCTTTTAAGAATTTATATAAAATTTTATTTTATTATTACAAATACATGTCATGTGTATGTCATGTATAGCAAATAATATTTAAATACATTTTAGAAAATACATGATTAGGTTAATCGGGCTGGACACATTTTCCATTTATACGTCAGCCGTCGCTATCTTTGGACGCTATGACCACATATTATCATATTATGAACACTCCTTCTCTATCTTCTCAATACATTTGAATATGAACCGTGATTTGATATTAGTATTAGATTAGATATTATTAAATATATAAGATAATAACGCTTGCTTTCTTTTCCTAGAAATATAATTATCTGTTACAATCATTAGAATGGCATGGCTATATGTAATTCTATCATCTGAATATTGTTATGACCTTTATAATAAATGAATAAATCTGTCACTATTATTATGAATGCAACTTATCATCTTAATCATCGACATTGTCAAATCAAATTAGTAATCGAAATGAGTCTTAAATAATAATGTCCGAGATTTTGCAAAGTAATGTATATATATCAAGCTTTAAAAAAGAAAATATCAAAACACATAAAACAAAATACTTTTGTCAGTGTCTTATCTTTTTATCGAATGTTATAGTCATAACAAATCGTTTGGATATCTACAGTAACTGTATTATCTCTTCAGAAAGGTTAAAATTGTTAAAGATGTTGTCGCTATGCATCTTTACTAAAACGCAAATTATGCATTATTAAAGAATTACATTTTCATTCCTTGAGAAGAGCAAACATGAGTTTTGTTACTGGAAAATAATGGTTGAATAATGATTGTAGCTTATTATCTGAAGAATGTAGTTCTAATTTTGAAATTTTCTTGTAATAAAAGTAGATAAATGCGAACAAACTAGTATTTGACTTCCATAAAAATATTATATCAATGTACTAGTGTCAAAGGACAACGAACGGAAGCAAACTATGATTTGGAAACTATTATGTGACACCAGGTTAAAAAAAATTGAGAACGAAAAATAAATCATACTGGGGTATTGTGGGCCTTTTAAAATTTTATCCTGATATGTTCAATATTTGCCATCTTGCAATGTAGGCTGAATTTGTGTATTGTTTGTTTGTTTGTTTGATTGATTGATTGATTGATTGATTGTTTGATTGATTGATTGATTGATTGATAAATTGATTGATTGATAAAGAAAATAGGAATTCTTATTTTATAACTAGTTCTTATTATCATAGATGAGCAAGATAGGAATGAAATAGTTTTTGAACTTCCCCGTACTAGATTGCAAACTAGTATTAATAATTACTTTTTGTCATTCTTATATTTTATATTGCTTTAAAAACATCATGATACATAGGAAATATTTCATACAACAGTGCATTCTTAATATAGTTAAATGTATTTCTTTTATTTATGGTATGCTATAAACACATGTTTATTGTATCACATTGAAGAGACTATAAAATGAATAAAATAATACAAAACGTTAAACGTTCCATGAGACTTGATATATTTAAAAGGCGAATTCTTTTTGACTTTTGTCAATTATGCCCCTCCTTTAGCAGTGACAATAAAGTAAGTAAGTCAAACAAAGTTAAGTTATGAAGAAAAATAATGCTTGGGATTTAAGTTTGTGACACGTTGCGACCGACATAACTTAAAAGGTCATGTATACCAAATTGATAATCGGAATATTATCATTAGCAGAATAGTCGATCACGTAGATTACGTGGAAATTGTTATTATCATTATCATTTACAAGATTAAGTGCAATATAATTTTATGCAAAGCATTTATATCAGTTTGTGTTATTTATTTCATGTCAGTGGTTTTATTTAAATTTCAGTTCGTGTTTGAGAACGTCATTGACAAATTGTAATTGTTTTATCTTTTGTGGTAGATTGTTATGATGTTCACACATTTACCTTGCGTCAAGAAAGCAGTTTTAAAATCAAATATACTGAAAATTGTAGTGTTATATCATAATATGTATTTAAACTGACATAGAAATGTGTAACGTCATTTTTGAAAATACCTGTATATTTTCTAGGAACTCAAGCGAATTTTTGTGGTTTAAATCGAGTCTGTCAAATATTAAATTTTATAGTGTTATGGCGTTTCGTTTTTGGGTGCCACTTGAACACTTAAACAACAATATACCACAATGCAACACATAATTTTTCAGAAAGAAATGATTATGTGAGAAAATAAATAAAATTAAATACAGTATTCATGATTTTTATTAAAACAGTTATTGGTCAGACCAAGCGTTTTGGTAACATTGCATATTATCATGTAAATAAGAATTTTCATGTTGTTTTGTCAAAGTATATTTTTGATAAATTATTTTAGCTGTATTTCATGTACCGTGTCGTCTGTTATTTTTGTCTTTTTTTTTAAATGAAAAGGAAACTAAGTTGCGTAATTTTTAGAAAAAATACATATATAACTTTCTGTATTTTATCTTAATATGATGTGATATAAACATCAAAATCTGAAAGAGAAAACACAATATACGAGAAAATCGCGATAAAATAAGATTAAGAAAAAAGTCACTTGTTACGATAATTTCAGATTTAAAATTAATATTTTATTTGCAAAATGTATGGAATAAATGAGAACCCATATACTTTCAACTTATGATACATGCTTGTGAATGTATGAACACTGATACCTATAAGGTACATAACTCCTGACAAGACTGAGCCAATGACCACAGTAGATGCCCTGTCCTGTTTGAATTGCTCCAGCAATTCCACCAGCAATGTCCCAAACGAATACGCCAAGCCATCTATGATAAATCCAATGAAGAATGTACAAGCTACAACAATCCATCCATACCCACCATCAGTTTGATACATGTTAGCTTTAAGCGAATTCTTCCCCATTACACAGTTGTTTAAGCTATGTCTGTCTGAACAGACTATCAAGCTATCTTTACAGTTATCTCCACGACAACCTTTATTATATGAGTTATCATGTGCTATGTTTAAAGTGACATTATGCCCATCCTAGGGTAAATAGTGAGTGAATGGGTGAAAGTCAAATAAGTTTTCATTTTGCCATAATTCCTATTAATTTAATAATTAAGTTCGCATAAACAATAAATAACTCACAAATCCAAACGAAATTTCTGTTAATATCCATTACGATTTACCTATAACGCTTAGTTTATAAGCAGAGTGGGGCAGTCTTTTTAAATTTTAGACAGATTTATAATTTTATCCTAAACATTTTCCAATATCAACTCTTGGTCAAACACCATTTTGACAGTCAATCTTTTCAAATATAAAGTAAATTCAGCTCAACTTGACCATGAAAATATGAGCATAATGTCACTTTAATCGTATGTCAACCAAAATCTAGGTCTACAGTTTAAAGACATAACCAATTATATAATACAAATAAATGCTCATACTTGTATTAATTATATATTCCAAGACAACAATTTATTTTCTCAAAAACAATTCTCAACCAAATACAAGTCGAAAGGAAAACCTATCATTTAATCCCTATATTTACATTCCAACAATCTCATATCCTAAAATTTCTAAACATACGATATTTCGAAGATTCATAAAAATAGTTTTTCATTGACCCTTTGTCTTATAAATATAGCATCCTTAGTACCAGAGATCTGATATTTCTTTGTACTAGTAACTATAAGCTTTAGCTTCAACCAAAATGTTTCTAATCAACTGTTGGCCAGAGAGGTCTTACTGGAACAATAGGACACTTCTGTACCAGACATCTGAGATTTCTGACAGACCGGACAATATAACATTACAATCAAAACCAACTCCTCTTTTGAGTTAGTCGTAACGTCTTTACCAATCAACTCGGAAGCTGTGCGTGTATGTTCTTGGATATCTTCAGTGAACTTCACTTTTTCATCTGGTAAGTGACCTGTGATCGAAGCAGATGTGACCAAAGGAAGGTCTGCTATTCTAAATGCATTTGTTACAGCATTCATTGAAACAAAGGCACCATACCCTTGTCAAATTTCATTACTTGATAATGCAGCAGGTATTGAATCCTTGCCAACTAGAAGTTGCATTATTTTATGCATGTACTAGAGATGGTATGATAAGGTTATCTTCAGTGCCATACCTAAAAAGTATGAAAAATAAAATCAACAAGGAAGGGCAGCATTCAATGAACACATACTTTAATACAGTCATATTAATATTGGTGAATACGTACAAAGTTTTCATAATAATACATTTCGTCAATTTTTCTTATAATGTCTTCCAAGTAACATAGCTTTTTACACTAATTCAATGTCCTTAACGGAATTAGAATTCTCAATGTTGAGGGTAAAATGATTTTTCGTTCACTCTGTGGATTCTAATTCTTAAAGGGATGTCAGACTTTTCATGTAAGGAATCTAGCCAGTTAGCCCACGAGAAAGCCAGTGCCCGCGCTTTCTTGTTTACACATTTGAAAGATGAATGCGTTCATATCATTCTATTTAGTTCAGATTTGCAAATAAAGCTTACACATATGAAGAAACATATAACCTGTAATATTTCTTTCTAATACTCTGATCAAGACCCCGATGACACGTCTAACGATGGCGTATATGCAGGTGTTATACCTGCGTTTTCTATCAGCTGAAACGGTCGAGTGAGAGCAAAGGTGTTTGTTATAGGAAAGAAGGGTACAACATATGTGGCCGATGTTTTTAGCGAAGCAAGATTCAGGTCAACAATGAAGATTGTAATGTGTTCATGTTTTTATAGTTGTGTCATGTGTATAATTTCTAAGTAAAATGTTTAACTAACTTATATACTTTGTTTTAATCTTTCGACAAATTATCAATACACGATTATCAATTCACGATTATCAATACACCTGCAAAAATAATTGTTCTGGCGACTGAACAGTAGTGGTCTGGAAGGCATTTGGATCACAGTTATAGATATTAAGATAAGACGTATTGTGCATATAGAATTAGATAAGGCAATATATGATATTTTCTCATGTATGTTTAGATGAACTTCTTAATAGTGTATTACAAGACAACTTTCAATGGTCAGTTGTGACCAATGACATTTTAGTCAGTAATTATGTAACCGGTGATGTTACTGCACTAGGTCGTATTACAGATGTTTCTATCACAGATTTATCTACAGAAAATACTCCATATGGCGAAAGGAGAAGTTATACTATAACTTGGACGGCGACAGGAGATGAAGTAAACATCGGACAATGTTTGCGTTCATTGAACGCCGCCTTTCCTTGTTGATCTTGTTTATCATATTTTGTGGGTTTGACATCTTATAAGTTCTAGTTTTGTTGAGGCACGGCTATTTTTGAACTATTCCTAAACTATATTAGAAAAATATGAATTTGTGGAGAATAAACGTTCATTTATTTTGCACTTTGATTTGTTATTTGAAAAATGTTTTAGAATGCATACGAAAAACAATTTTACTATTATAGCCATGGAATACGAATTAAGGATATCAAACAACGATGACTTCTTAGAAAGTGATTTCACAGATGCTAAGCTCCTAAGTATTCCTAGCGCAAACTTCAAAAGCTGCAGGGATAACCGAATGTATCAAAGTAGGAATAGATGCAACCGGGGCTTATACGTCAATGTTATTTGGGCAAAAGACGAGGCTGGGAACATTGGTAGTGTTTCTTACATAATTTCAATCTTTGCTGTCAATGGTTTTAAGATAGCCGTAACAGATTGTCGTGAGTGATATCACAAAGAGAGATGACGAGGTAAAAGAAAAGAAGGAAAAACCCAATTCACTTGTCATGTGTTTGTCATCTGCAGCGGCTGTAATTGTACTAACCATAGTCATATTAACACTGACTTTAAAGAATGCAAAGGCCAAGGCACGTGTTGAAGGTAAGAAATGTTTCCAATTATTGGTACAAAGCTATATAGCTGTAAATGTAAATATACAGAATTCAAATCAAAAGAATGATAAAATTTAAGATTGAACTATTTCTAATGCTTT